TATAATTTACAAAATTAGTATCAAAAAATTCAAAAGCTCATTTGTGTATGCTCATTGATTTTGGGCATTATACTCATTTAATTTTAACATAAAACTCTTTTTTAATGTGTTTAATATTTAAGTGTATACTCATTTGAGTTTAATACAAAACTTATTTTTAATATGCTTAATATCCAGTTATGTTTGTTCATTTCATTTATGAGTATACTCATTTGAGTTTAATATAAAACTCATTTGAGATCAATAGCAGTGGGGATTCCTATGTCTGCAGCAGACTCTCTTTGTCTTCCAAAATCACAATCTCAAACACCAAAACTGATTAAGCAGAAGAGAAAACCTAAAAGAGTGAAAGAAAGACAGAGGGAGAATCTGTTGTGTTCGTTCTAGAGGAGAAGGAGATGAGTGGTGAGAGGCAATGACGAGCAACGACCTAGAAGAGAAAGAGACGAGTGGTGAGCGTTGATGATAATCAACCAGGTGTGAAGTCAGATCGAAGAACCAGACGAGATATGATGAAGCTGGTGTGAAGCTGGATGCGAAGTCGAGGAAGAAGGCCAGAGCGAGATCGATCGAAGAAGAAGCATAGAGCCCAAAAAAGGGCCGGTTGTACCGTGTGCACGGTACAGCCAGCTGTACGGTGTATTTTATCGAGACTTTTGTGTGCCAAACATAGGTTCAATAATTGCCATATACTACCTGTATATACGCGCATTAGGGCTTTTTTCATAACAATAAACTATGTACACTTTAATATTATATTCATTGATTTAAGAAGTGATTACTTGATTTTTAGTGTGATAATTACACACATGAATTATATAAAATAATTACTTTCGGTCATAAGTAGTCACAATTTTTTTTCACAGTATATACATTAATTGGATATTCTTTAGATGAACAACAAAATGGTGTGTGTTTGTGTATTGCCAATTAGTAATATATATATATATATATATATATATATATATATATATATATATATATATATATTATAGAATTAAAGATGAAATGATTATATTAATATAAAGTGTAGTGATTATAAATTTATTATGATATTTGAAATTATTATATATGAAATTATTATGATATTTGGAATTATTAATATGAGGAGAAAAATTAATATTTTTAAGGCTTAAATATGTTTTTAGTCCCTGCAAATATGACACACTTTGTTTTAGTTCACTACAAAATAATTTTTTTGGTTTTTCATCCCTATAATATGCCCTAATTTGTTTTTGGTCCATGTCTAATTCTAAAACCACTCTACTTAGCAAAAAAATTAGAAATAATTACATAAATATGATCAAAATAAAGATGGTTTATAAAAATATGACTCTGTTGGATAATTGATACTCATATCGTATAAACAGGAGAAATTGAACAAGAATCAAAAGGAGTAATGGAGAAGAAGAAGAAAATTTGTATAGAATGAATATTTGTTATATGAGTTACAAGCCTCCTATAAGGAGTATATATAGGGAGAATCCGGGTCTGAGCCTCTAATATGGGCCTGACAGACCCGGTTACATAAATGGACTGATAGTATAAAAAGCTAATCTAGAACATCTGAATAATAATAATAATGTACAATAATATTAATGATATCCGCTAAACGTGTGTGGGCCGCTGTCCAGGCCTAGTAGTCGGCATACCGGGGGGTCAGAGTCCATATAATCCATCAGGAGTCCCCCACTCCCTGAGTCGAGAGTACTCGAGGCGAAAGGGAGTAGTCCAAACTGTATCTGCAACGTTCTTCCTCTTCGGCCGGGGGACCACTACCCTTGTCCATTATGGGGAGGTGCCTCGTTAAAAACCTTTACTAGGAAAAACCCAGTGGGAAAAAATCCTAATAAAGGGAAAAAGAGTACACCTAGTGATAGATTATTAATTCTAGAGAGAAGTGAGAGCTAGAGAGAGAAAGTGAGTAATTATATTCCTCAACTTGGAACCCCCTATAATTAGCCCCTTGGGGTCTATTTATAGGTAAAAATGTGGATTTGGGCCCCTAGCCTTGGGCTTAGGAGGCCCATTACAATAATCATGCCTTCTTTGGGCGAAATAAGGCCACTAATGGGCTGTGTACAATACTTAGTAAATACAATGAAAAATACATTCTGCCAGGATGAAGTCCAGACGATGCGGTCCATGGACGATGCGGTCCATGGACGATGCGGTCCATGGACGATGCGGTCCATGGACGATGCGGTCCATGGACGATGCGGTCAATGGACGATGCGGATCCCGGGCTTCGTTCGTATAATTCCAGGAGCTATCTCCTTCCTTGGACGTCGCGTGCCTTTGGCCGATGCGGGTGCCCCGCTGGTGTCTTTTGGGCTGTTGAGTATGTGGGCCATGGGGTCCAGGCCCATATACTCTATCACCTAGCGCCCCCAACATGAAACAAGGAAGGTAAATCCCCTCCGGCATAATCAATCTAGCTCAGCTCCTCTTCAACTGACTCAGCTCTCGTTCCTGCTCTTGCGTGATATTTTCTGCTCATCTAGAAACTCTGACCCCTCAGTCCCCTAGTCCCCACTCTTTGAGGCGAGTGGAGACGAGGTGAAAATGAGTAAAGTCATCTTCGTACCTACACATTTATCATACATAAAAAAATTTTTCTTGGGATTTATGTTCCCGATCGGGAGTTCGTCACTTGAAACAAGTGGAGATGTGAATTGTTAATGTAATGATAAAATACTTAGTAGAATGGATGTGTGAGCCATTCGTAAGCAACGGTCGCCACTCGAGGAATGACTAAGACCGGTCTTCGTACCCGACTTGGTCGGGGTTTTGTCTTCATGCCCGACTTGGTCGGGGCTTTGTGCCTGAGGAGACAGGGCTTTAAATCCTAGTGATGGGTCTCAAGCCACACTCTACTAGGCATTTGATCATAAGTGCGTGATAGTGTGACATTTATCGACAAAAAAGTGATTTAAATAAACATAAATAATAAGATAATTAAAGAGTACTTATCTTTCTTTTTATGAGTGGGCTGAAATTAACGGGCTTGCTGAAATTGTTGCTCAATATCTAGTTCCACGTAATCTTGGCCCACTGCTTTCCCTTAAGTTTCCCAGCGGAGCTTTAATCGGAGTAGCTGAAGTAACAGTCATGTGCTAGTAGGTCCTTCAAAAGATGTGGGCAGAGTTATTGATAGTTAACACCTCATGTGCTGGGAGACCCTTTCTTCAAAGATACTAACAGGTCTTCTGATAATTGGATAATAGGTGGCCTGCGTTCATCTCCCGCAGCTAACATTAGGTGAGAGCGGTTCTTTCCTCGACGCCGCCGGGGGTCTGGATTAGATCGTCGCCAGCCGCCTACAGTCACCGTCAGCAGGAAGAAAGGAGGGGTCGCTGCTGGGGCTGCGTTGAGGCAGATGTTGACTGGACCGGGCATATTCTCATCTCCTTCCCTGAGCTTTGAACCTCCATTAATGGCAGATGGAGATCGCCGTTTTTTATGACGGGCTGCTTAGCTGCAAGGGGGCCAGACCCAGCGGTGGAACGCCTGGATAAAGCAGGCGACGCCGTGGCAGAGCCCGTACCTGGAGCCCACACTTCGCCGCTTGCGCCGACGCGTCCCAGCTTCGGCTTGCAGGTTGAGTAGCCCGCCTACAACACAGATCGGTCGCGACTGAGAGCTAAAGCCCAGGGGCGTCGGATCTGCGTCGGATTCTCGGCGGAGCAGGGCCCTGTTACAGCATCGCCTCTGATGCTTGGTCTAATTCCAGATTCCGGTTGCTTCCTCTGATCCGTACAGCTCCAGACCAGCTGCTCCATCGGCCCTACAGTCCAGATTCCAGACTAGCTCCGGTCCTACCGCTCCGGTTGACCGACTTTATTGCCAAAGGAGTTCCAGATCTCATAATTTCTTCTGGATTTTTCAATTTCTTGTAAAATGGAACGATTTTTTGGATGTTTTTTTTTGTGATTCAGTGGATTTTGGTTAATTGGGAGGTTTTCTCACTTGATTGTGTTCAAACTCTCAACGAGAGCACCATTGTTGGATAATTGATACCCATATTGTATAAACAGGAGAAATTGAACAAGAATCAAAAGGAGTAATGGAGAAGAAGAAGAAAATGTGTATAGAATGAATATTTGTTATATGAGTTACAAGCCTCCTATAAGGAGTATATATAGGGAGAATCCGGGTCTGGGCCTCTAATATGGGCCTGACAGACCCGGTTACATAAATGGACTGATAGTATAAAAAGCTAATCTAGAACATCTGAATAATAATAATAATGTACAATAATATTAATGATATCCGCTAAACGTGTGTGGGCCGCTGTCCAGGCCTAGTAGTCGGCATACCGGGGGGTCGGAGTTCATATAATCCATCAGACTCATTACTAGAGTAGTAATGAAATTATAGTAATTCATGTTCAAGTTTTGAACTTAAGTTACTACAATACTACGTTGTAGTAATGAATAGTCATATTTATGTAAATAAGTTTTATTTTAGTAATATTCTTGTAAAAAACTCAAAAAATTATTGTGAGTTGCATAAATCTACTAGAAATATTTAAAATTATCCTTTTATAATTTTTTGAGGCTAATATGAGAGCTAAAATAATGTAAAACTAAATATTCACATTTTGAAAATGTAAACTTAAAAGCCTTTGAAAAAATAAAATTATATACTTTTGTAATAACATGACAAAGGATTAGAGGAAATCTATTAGTCGGAATTAGTTTCAGATCAAACGGATGTTGATATCATCAGTGATGGACCTAAAAGAAAACTAACATAAATTGTAGGGATGAAAAACGAAAATATAATTTTACAGAGATTTAAAACAAAATGTACTATATTTGCAAGGACTAAAAACATATTTATACCTATTTTTAATAATTAAATTCGTGACAATAAATAACAAATTACGTGCTCCAGATTTGATTCATTTCCTGCTCTATTTTACTTTTTGTTTTTCATAAACTTGGGCTAGACAAAAACTGGTTATTAAAATATGTCGAGTCAGCTTGTCCAGAGGCCCAAGGAATTAAACTTTGAAAACAATGTGCGGCCCGTACCCCAAACGATTAGAAAAGAAATCGTAAAATCATCGTTCTTTCTCCGGACACCGACGCAGCAACGAACTCACCTGCGACGAAGAAAGCTACAAACTCTGAGCTGCGACCCTGCGACGAAGAGCGAACACCAAGCCATCAGCCCCGCCGCGTTCCTCCGTCCACGCCGCGCGTCCATCCGTCCAGGGTCTGCGTCTTCGGCCGTCCTTCCTCTCTGTGCTCTGCCTCCAGCTCTGGCGCAAGACCACAGGTTAATTTTTTTTAGAGTTTTACTCTCTTATTTTGTGATTGCTTTAACTTGTATTACTCCGATAGTTTGATTATTAGATTTTTACTCTCTTATTTTGCGTTACACTCTGTTAGTCGATTAGTAAAAATCTAAAAAACAATCAAATTATTTTTAGCCGTTTAGAGTGTTAGGGTTAGTCCGTTGGTTAATCAATTTGATTATTAATTGAAATTTTCAGTGCATAATAAAATAGGGAAAAAATTCAAGATAGAATTAAATCTTAGAGAATGATTTATTGATTATACAATTGAGGATTAGCTAATTAGAGAATAATTTATTTATTGTGGGGACATGTAAGAAAAAATTGAAGATTTCAATTGAATTTTGAAATCAAGAATACTTATTAGTTTTATGTACAACAATTTTTTTTTCTTATTAGTTTTATAATTTTATGTTTTTATAGAAGTATTGTAATTCATACCAATAATATTGAAAATGTTTTTTAGAATGGAGATTTCAATTAAGTGATGTTTTGATGGATATTTAAAGTGTTGACGACTTGATAGACCTGTCCGCGGTTCGAACTAGTACCGGAACAAGAACCGCACCGCCGGTTGGCGGTTCCAAATTTCAGAGAACCGGAACTGGAACCACACAGTATCAGTTCCAAAACTGGTTCGATTCCGGAACAAGAACCGCACCGAATCTCTTACAAGACAATTTCCAGATTCAAATTACAAAAACTTAATCAACTACATTATTTTTTCGTGGTGTAGATCCATCAGCCACGAGACCTTAGGAAATGTGATTAGCTTAGGGCCTTAGGTAATATGGTTCTTGATCTTGGATACAAGTCGACAATTAGTTTCCTTTGACCAACAACCTTAAGCCTCATACAAAAACACAAATTATAATTCCAAGATAATTGCTTTCCTAGCCTACCCATATCAACTTAAGGACTAAAACAAATGCACAAATAATTCTTTAAAATGCACATCCTAAAGTATAAGATACAAACATTAGAATTTAAATACCCAAACACTCCTTTTTCACACATTGTCATAGAGCTAAACGATCCATGTTTTCTTTCACACATTGAAAACGAGTTAGGATGTTTTCTTTTGGACTGTTTTCAATCCCAGATCAAATCAAGCCAAACTTGACTTCCGTAGTTATAAAATACACAGAGACCATACGTTTACCAGTAGTCATGGACTCGGGTCCGGCCGTCCGGGTCTAATTTTTTTGTTATGGACCCGAGATTGGCCCGGTGGTTAGCCGGTTACGCGTCGGGCAGGGCCACCTGCCCGGGTACCGGGCCGGGCCACCCGCCCGGGTCGGGCCGGTTACAATTTTCTTTCTTTCTTTCTTTTTCCTACTTATTTCTACAAATGCTGCCAATTAAAAACAAACTTCAAGTGCATTTATTTGAAATAGAAACTACATTTGACTAAGGTAAAACAACAATTAAATAGGAACTACATTTGAAATAGGAACTACAATTAACTACTTTTTTATAGTACTTAAAACTAAGGTAACATTTAATTAAAGAGGTATTTATCTAAATAGGAGTAAATCAATCTTTAATTGTCAAAATAGGACTAAAATTTAAAAATTTCCTAAATAGGAGTTATTATGTGTAAGTAGACAAAAACGCCCTTGAAGCTTGAAAGTCACACTGCCCCTGAACTGAACACTGGACCACCATCATTTGTCGGTCACCACCATCGCCGGCGGTCGCCGCCATCGCCGCCGGTCGCCGCCGGTCGCCGCCATCGCCGCCGGTCTCCGCCACTGCCGCCGGGCACCTCCGCCGGCTCAAAAACTGTCTGCCGTTGCAGATCTGGCCGCCGCCGATCCAGATCTGGCAGGTGTCGCCGGAGATCTGGCCAGATCATACCTTCTCCGGCCGTCAACCGCTGCTTGTGCAGATCCAGCCACCATGGCTGCTAATTGGTCATTTGTTGCTGCAAATGTGATCTCATCGGTTACAGATCTGCATGTTGCCAGCGTGAATGCCAAGATTTTTATCAGAATGCCTTCTTAATGGCATTTTCAAAGGAAAACACAAAATTTTTTAAGAATAAAAATGCCATTTCAATGGCATTTCAGAGTTTAACTTGGCATTCTGTAACACACAAAGAAAAAATGGAAGACAACAATCATAGAAGAGAAGCCGATCTGTAGAGAAGAAAAGTCATCTCCGGCAGCGGCGGCAGTAGACTTCCCGATGGTGGCGGCGCCGATGACTATGACTAGGCTACTAGGTTTTGTTGTTCCTGATCGAAGTGGAAGAGAAAATATGTGCAGGTGTGCAAGGGAAGAAGAAGAAGTTTGCAGAGGGAAGAAGTGCGGGGGAAGAAGTGCCAGAGGGAAGAAGAAAGATGCGCAGAGAGGGGAGGAGATGGTGTGCGGGCAGGGGAAATTAAATTAAAAGGGAAGAAATAAGGGTAAATGGGTAATCTAATCCTATTTGGGGAACAAAAATATATGGTCCTATTTGGGAATTTCAGTTACAATTTAGTCCCATTTAGGGCAATAAGTCTTAATTAAAAATGGTAATGAACTAATGAACTACTTTAATGAAAAATATAACAATTAACTAATCAACTAATGTTAATAAAAAATGTAACTAATAAGAAAAATGTATGAATGTATATACTAATTAATGGGAGTCATAGAATGAATTTAACTAATATCAATTAAAGTGTAACTAATATATAATATATTGTGTAAGTATATATATATATATATATATATATATATATATATATAGAGAGAGAGAGAGAGAGAGAGAGAGAGAGAGAGAGAGAGAGAGAGAGAAAACTTCATGTCAGGCCGGCCTGACGGGCTGCCCCGTCCGGCCGAGCCCGTTTGGGCACCTTCCCGGTGGAATTTTTCGATGAAATTTTTTGAGCATGTTCCTCATCAAGTCTAGTTTGTCCATACCAAATTTCAGCTCAACATTCGATCGGGAAGGTCGTCAAATGATTTTTGCAAGTTAACTGGTCCGGAATATGTATTTTCCGGACCAGTTAACTTGCAAAAATCATTTGACGACCTTCCCGATCGAATGTTGAGCTGAAATTTGGTATGGACAAACTAGACTTGATGAGGAACATGCTCAAAAAATTTCATCGAAAAATTCCACCGGGAAGGTGCCCAAACGGGCTCGGCCGGACGGGGCAGCCCGTCAGGCCGGCCTGATGAGAAGAGCCCTCTATATATATATATATATATACATATACATATATATATACACACTTAATATAATAAGTAGTTATTAAGTATATAAACGTAGATAATTCGAACTATATTAGTAGATATAATAATTGTATAACGAATATATAATATAATGTTTATAGTATATAATATATAAGTTTACTACTATAAGATGACTAATACACTTATATTTAATACTTAAAATTTAATATATAAAGTATATATTAAGTAGATGTATTATGTATGTATTAAGTAGATATTAAGTAGATAATAAATATAAGTAACATAATCTATGTATTTATAAGTAGATAATTAATATATAAGTAGAGATTAAGTGGATAAGAAATATAAGTAATATAATATATGTATTTATAACTACATAATTAATATATAAGTAGATATAATAATTCTATAATTATTAAATACTACGTAGTAAAATAGAATGGAGAATTAGAGAATTTGAGAAGATGAAGATGGAGATGATTAAGAATAATAGAATATTAGAGAGCAGAGAGTTGGAAGAGTTGGAGAAGAGGTGTAGAAAAATGTATAAAAATAGGAGTATTTATAATTTTTCTACCCCCCACCCCCAAACGCCCGGGAACCCCCTTTCCCCCCACCCAACGGCTATATAGCCGTTTGGGAGCCATTACCCAACGGCAAGGGGGCTGTTTGGTTGTTAAATAATTTTTTTTAAAAAATCTAGCCGTTAGGCCCGAACCGGGCCCGGCCTGGCCGGGTCACCATTTCTTTTACCCAAGCCCGCCCCCGCTATTACCTACGGTCTGGGTCAAAGACTGGTATCGGGCCCGAAACACCGGGCCGGGCCGGGTCGGTTCACGGGTCGGGTGACCCGAACCGAGTCCAAGACTATTTACCAGACCAGATCAGACCAGTATAGACCAGACCAGACCAGCAAATTTCAGTCCAAAAGAAAACATCCTTATATCTATAAGTAATTGCGAGTTTTAGTGTAAAGAATGAAATGAATTTTAAAACAAATAACAAAACCTCAATTATAAAGTTGCAAATCAAGGAAAGATAACTACAAACATATGCATACAATCAGGGGAGCATTGGGCCTTGGGCTAGGAGGGTCCAGACCTACCCTCAATTTTTCATATTTTTAAACTAGTATATATGTATAAACAATTAGGCCCACCATCAAATTTCAAAAAAAATGTTAATATAGAGCAGTCAAGGTCCATTAGGGTCTGTTTGCAACGGCTTCTGCTTTTAAAAAAGTGCTTTTTTTAATGAAATGGGGAGAAGTGATTAAATAAAAGTTGATAGTGTTTGAGAAAAAAGTGATTTTGAAAAGTAAAAGTAGGTAGTGTTTGGTAAAATAAGTGTTTTTTGTGTAATAGAAAAAGTAAAAGCATTTTTCACCCGGAAGCCGATAAAAATAAAAATTGTAGTGTTTGGGAAATAAGTGCTTTTTAAAGCTAAAAGCTGAGAAGTGCTTTTTTAAAAGCAGTTGCAAACCAAATGTTAGTCGGTAGGTTTGTTCATCCCCACTCTCCTATCCTCCAGCCAAGCCCACAATTAGACCATGGCCCAAAATCTCAATATTCCAAATCAAACTCGAAGAATTCAGCTCGCAGGAGAAGAGGCAGCACCGCAGCAGACAGCAGCGTTCCGTTTCGGCAAAACCCCAAATCCCAACCTAAGCTCCGCACTTGGACGGCGCACGGAGGTTCAGGCGCTCAGCACTTGGACAGTTGGACGGCGCACGGCGGTTTTCCAGTTTGGACTGCTTCACTGTTTAGTTTCTGGCTTTCTGTGCTATTGGGTCGTAAACTGGGACTCTGGATCTGCGGCCTGCGGAACTATCTAACGGGTAAATTACTAAGCTAATTAGGTTTTTAATTTTAATTACAGCCATGTTTAGACTTTAGTATTACAGCCTTGTTTGATTTTAGGTTTTAGTTTTATTGTGTTTTTAAATCAATTTAAAGACTAAATTACAGCCTTGTTTAGTATGAATTTGATTGCTATTTATAAAGTTGATAAGTTGAAAAACGTGTGTTACTTACAGGCAATTTTGTGTGATTGTGTCAAGAGTAACAATAAGGTAGGAATAAATAATAAAATCGTTGATGTTGTGTATGGATCTCCTTGAAGTGTTAATATTAGCATCCTGAATAAAATTAACCATTTTGTTAGGGGTTCATCATAGTTTCAATAGAGATTTTTTTTTATGTGCTAGCATTACCAATTAAACAAAACTAAAATTACACTATAATCCATTTTTTCCAACATGCTTTTTACGAATTCCTACATCGGACAGTTTCTCTGTTCAAATCCTTTCATGAACTTGAACCATATGGACTACAGTAATAGCAATTTACTAATCCATACCTCTACGACATTGCCATAATACTTGCCCCTTTTGCAATTGTTATGGGTTTACTCTATAATTTCAAGGTGTAATAAAATGATTGAATCTGGATAGGAGAAAGAAAAAAAAATGGAAAGATTAGAGAAGACTGTCTTTAGTAAAAAAGGTTTAATGGAAAAAAAATTTGTGTGAAGAAATCAAATCCTGAATGTCCTCCTCAAGATGATGCATTACCAACTGTACAATCAATTTCTTCTTTAAATGAGTATGATAAACCGGAGGAGATGAATGATTTAGCAGCCAAAAATGAAATGGTTCAGAATGATCATATCTTAGGAGGTGATAATATAGGATTTGAAAGTATCCAAAAAAATAACTTATGTTTAATAAAACAGTTCAAAATAATTTAGCAGAAAGTCAGAAACTTTGTTTAATTTAACAAATTCAAGTCTTTTCTTTTTTATAAAGGTCTTGAGTTATTAGTATTATTATTATTACTATTATTATTATTATTATTATTATTATTATTATTATTATGCATGTTAGTGTAGACGAAAAGAGTTTTACATTTTTTATTAAATCCATTTTAAATTGACCCAATTCCCTAAATAGGACTAAAAAGTGGCAAAATTGCACAAATAGGAGTACATTTTTTAAATTCCCTTAATAGGACTATTTATGTGTGTTTGGACAAATATACCCTTGTAACTTGTGAAATGTTTTAATTAATAATAAAATCATAAAAAAATAAAAAAAATAAAAAAATACTAAAATCATAAAAAAATAGAAAATTAATAAAAATATTTTTAAAAAAAAATAAAAAAAATATTTAAAAAAAAAATAATAAAATACTAAAAAAAATCGTAAAATTAAAAAAAAAACATAACCACCCCTGCCACCCCCAACACCACCACCTCCCATCACCGGAGAAAAATATGCCAACATTTTAAATAATGCCATAATGATGGCATATTCAATGAAAATGTTGGCATATTGAAGAGTAATTATGCCATCTTTTTGGCATTTTCAGCAAAAGATGGCATTTTTTTACCAAAAGTGGAAGAAATTTCACCAATCGGAGATGGTGGTGGTGGGAGGCGGTGGGAAAGGTATCCATAATTTTTTTCATTTTTTATGGGTTTTTACTATTTTTTATTATTTTTTAAAAAAATTAAAAAAAAAATTAAATTTTTTATTTTATAAATGTTTTATAAATTTTTTATAATGTTTTTACGTTTTTTAAATATTTTTTACGTTTTTTATGATTTTATATGAATTAAAGCATTTCATTATGAATTAATACTCTTAGGGGTATTTAGGGTAGAAAATCAATGTTTAGTTCTATTTAGGGAATTTAAAAAGTAGTAGTCCTATTTGTGCTTTTTAGGAACTCATTAGTCCTATTTAGGACAATTTCCGTTTTAAATTCTCCTCCCCTAGGCCTTCAAACAACAGGACTGGCCAGCCTTCTTTATCGTGCAGGAATTCATTAAATGGTTTGTTCATGTCTAGAAAATATGAATTATTTAGTCATCTCTGCAGCACAATTACACTTTCGTCCACTCCAAATGTAGAACATTGGAATAGATTGAGATAGTGCGTGTTTATGAGTGCTTCAGTATTTGTAGAATACTAGAATCATAAATTTTATCCTAAATGTTTGGTGTCTTGCAAAGAAAATTCCTCATATTTGCTTATTTGTGTGATGCCCGGAGCAATGCTTAATTGCTTATTTTTGTAACCTATAGTGTACATAGGCTCTGGTGAACTGCACAATCACTTTTTGTTTTTTCTTGAATGAATAGATCTAATGCAGTGAGACTTTGCTTTTAGGATGTAAAAAACAAGAGTTTATTAGAACTATTATTACTGGCTTATTTCACTAAAAGAAACTCCAACTTTTGAAGCCATTGTGCAGCTAAATTTAAAAGACGTAGTAGAGTTAAAGAAGCTAATGAAAATAGGTGAAGAAGCAATTGATATTATATAACATGTATTATAGTGCGTGTTTATGAGTGCTTCAGTATTTGTAGAATACTAGAATCATAAATTTTATCCTAAATGTTTGGTGTCTTGCAAAGAAAATTCCTCATATTTGCTTATTTGTGTGATGCCCGGAGCAATGCTTAATTGCTTATTTTTGTAACCTATAGTGTACATAGGCTCTGGTGAACTGCACAATCACTTTTTGTTTTTTCTTGAATGAATAGATCTAATGCAGTGAGACTTTGCTTTTAGGATGTAAAAAACAAGAGTTTATTAGAACTATTATTACTGGCTTATTTCACTAAAAGAAACTCCAACTTTTGAAGCCATTGTGCAGCTAAATTTAAAAGACGTAGTAGAGTTAAAGAAGCTAATGAAAATAGGTGAAGAAGCAATTGATATTATATAACATGTATTATATTTTTAGCCCATGCTGAATTGAAATGAGAGATCCGCCCAGCTATAATATATGCTTCTTTATTACAACTGATTTGTCTGTATATTCTCTGTTTTTAGTGGGGGTTTTGTCAGTTCTTTTATAGTTAGTATTTGGACTTTTTTCCATTGAACTATATATTTCTTAATTTTGAATATTATCTATTACATTCAGAAATGTTTTATTAGTATTGCTGCCACTTCTAAACCTTGTTAGCGACTTGGGGTGTGTTTGGGAATTGGTTTTTAGGGGGGGGGGGGGGAGGCATGTGAGGTTGATGACCCTCCTATTTGTGTTTGGGAGTTTAAAAATTGAAAGGGATGATTTTTGAGCGCTTTTATAACCCTTCAAATGCTCAATTTAAATTTTAAAGTTCCCCCAATTTGGAGGTTTTTGAAGGATAGCAAAATAAATGATAATTTTAGTTCAATTTAAAATGAATTCAAGCTCAACTATTTGAATTCGATATATATCTTAAGCGGTTTTACTTATAATTTTCCGTAGCCTTCCTCTTCCCAAATTTATAACTCCCAAACAAAAACAAGATTTTATTTCACTTCCCCTCTCCTTCCCCTCTCATGGCTAACCTTCCAAATCTTCCTCCCCCCAAACCCTAAACATACCCTTGGTGTTTTCAGAAATGTTCTCTGCTCATATTTTTACTATTTTTTAGCATTGTGAGTCTAGCTCAAACATTCTTCTTTAAAAAGGGTTACAGTGGGTCATACATTTTTCCTTCAGTATATGTATATATAGGGTACAGTTTATATAAAAAGTGGTCTTCCCATACAAAATGCGAATGACTCCACTTTTGACCATTTGAGGTGCACTATTGCATTTAGATTATTTTCAACATCCACTTTTAGTCATATACAGTACTTTTTGCATACTGGAAGTGTACTTTTTGCAACGAAAAAAACTTTGATTTAATTACGAAAATGTCACCGCATTTTTCATCCACTTCAATGCCAAACTTTGACATATTTAGAACCATTAGATCATTAATCCGATGCTCAAGATTAATTATTATTTTTCATGGGAATGACTCTTTATTTGATCCAATATATGTGTGTGTGCGCCCGTCCGCCAAACACATACCCTAATGATGGGGCTGTCAGGAAACCACAAATGGTTATCATTATTACTGTATTGCTAAAGTTAGCCTTTTGTGTGCTGTGCACAAATCCCATTTGCAACTGTACATTTTAGTGAAAATAACTAAGACTATACTAAAAGTGCACATATGCTTTAGCTAAAAACCCACCTCTCTTATCTCTAGAGAGTACTTTTGTTTTTGCAAGGAGAACTTTTTCTTCAGTCAATTTTGGCAAGAAGTTGGCAACGCAAACTGCAATGTTATATATAGGTAGATTATTTTTACATGTTAATTTCCTTTGCAAGGTTGGTCACTGCTCTAACTTAAGCAGGTAAATAGCCATTGCTTAGACCATATAGATTTTCCCTTCATATGGTACAGAATGTGTCATCTTGAGTTTCCTCTGGACTCCAAGAGTTTAAAACCTGCTTGATGAGGACATTGTTGGAATTTGTCATGTTGCCTTGAATATAAAAAATAAAAGGGTACATCCGTACATACTTGTAGCATAAGGTCACTACGTGGAAGGAATCCAAAGTTTAATAAAATATTTGTGGTTGTTGTCTAACTGATATAAAAAACATTATCTGTAAATTGTGCAGCTAAAGCATGCCTAAGGTGAAGACAAACCGTGTCAAGTACCCAGAAGGATGGGAACTGATCGAGCCTACTCTTCTTGAGCTACAAGCTAAGATGAGAGAAGGTTTTCTTCTTCTCAGAATTATAATTTTTTCTAGATGGTTCCTCTATTTATGTGGTATCCTTTTGAATTAGGGTATGTTTGAATCACTTAAAATGTTAGGGAAAGGAAGAAATATTTCTAAGGCAAGTTACTTTCTTGTGTTCCTTTTTACCTCAGAAAATGCAAAGGTGAACCAAATACTCCGATTCATGCTCTTCATATTTTTACAGATGTCTACATTTCTTTGTCTTAATATAATAGAATGAAATAAATAATTTGAGTTGGACCAAATTTAAAAAAAAATGCAGTGAGATTGAACCAGTGTTTTATTCTTCCTCACATTTCCATACTTCTAAATTTCTTTTACTTTTCTCTGCCTATAATCTTTTAAGTTCCATAGTGCTTCAGAAGAGGAGTCTTGATGATTACTATGAGTCTAATTTTTCTGTTATATTCTTGATTTTCAATTTTTTTACGGATGTCTACATTTCTTAGTCATAATATAACAGGATGAAGTATACTCCGTATAAAATGTGCTAAGAACAAATTTCCAAAAAAAATGCAATGAGATGCAACCAATGTTTTAGTTCTTCTCACTTCACTTTTAAAATTTCTTTTACTTTTCTCTGCCTATAATCTTCCAAGATCCATAGTACTTCAGAAGAGGAGTCTTGATGATTAATATGAGTCTAAGTTTTCTGTTTACAGCTGAGAATGATCCGCATGATGGGAAAAGGAAGTGTGAGGGTTTATGGCCCATCTTTAAAATTTCTCATCAGAAGAGTCGCTACATCTTTGACCTCTATTACAGAAGGAAAGAAATTTCTAAGGAATTGTACGAGTTTTGCTTGGATCAGGGTTATGCAGACCGCAACTTAATTGCCAAGTGGAAAAAGGTTTGTCTCATCATCATATCTAAAAACTGCATGTGTTGAAAAAAAATCAAAAATAGGAGTAAAAGTTGCTGATTTCCTTAAATACTAGTGTCATATTAATGTCTGATAATGCCATATTATGGCAACCTGATTTCAAGATTTTGGTACTTCAGTCCTATATAGAGAAAAAGCATTGTACTTTTATTCAGGTCAATCACCTTCGTACTCCTGTTTTGGAAAATTTCAGGGGGGGATTAACCGAAAAATAGATGGAAATAAAAGTGATTTGGGTGAGGATGATATAGTGGATATAGAGAGCAAATATAAAGTGTCTTGTGTTTATTGATATATGAATGACTGAGGAATAGAACGAAAAGAAAAAAAAAAGTGATTTGGCTGAAGATGAGTAAAGTGGATATAGAGACCAAATATAAACTTTCTTGTGCTTAGCGATATACATAATCATCCTTACACTTTCCTTACATTATACTCCGTATAATTTGGTATAAGGTCAAATTTGTAAATTGATAGCATTTCCCTCCATAGATCCTCACTTGCGACTGGATATGACTAGATGGAGATTATCTGACCTTTTCCATTTATGTGCTATTTCCACTCCATGGTACCAAAGAAATGCATTGAGCTCTCTCACGTTGCATTCATTTCTTTCCTTTCAATTTCATAGCCACCAAACTATGCATGTTCCCTGATAAACAAAGCTAACCTTAATGTATCATGAATGCAGCCAGGGTATGAACGCCTATGCTGTTTGAGGTGTATCCAACCTCGGGATCACAACTACCAGACCACTTGTGTGTGTCGGGTTCCTAAACATCTTAGGGAGGAGGAGGTCATAGAATGTGTCCATTGTGGCTGCAAAGGGTGTGCGAGCGGGGATTAAGGTCTTATTCCTGCTATTTATAAGTATGATGACGATGGGGGCTTATATGCTGATGATGCACTAATTAATTAGCCATCTGTGATATTGGTTTTGTACGTGCTACCTTCCCTTTTCGTTCTTTCTTGTACTCCCTCCGTCTCATAATTAAGTTCCTACTTTCCTTTTTGGGATGATTCATATTAAAGTTCCTACTTCAAAACTTTCCTTATTTGACAAATGATTTACACCAAAAAAATGCCAAAACAATGCCAAACAGTGTCAAACAATGTTCAAACGGTGTTCAAACAGTGCATGATGGATAGTCTACCCGGGGGTATCTTATCCGAGGGGTTATTGCGGGAATAACTTAGAGAGAAGTCAGAGAAAATAGGAGGAGAGAGAGTTGATTTTATTAAATGAACTCAGCGTGGAGTTGAGATGTGGATTATGTCGATTACAAGGAGAAATGGGCTGCTATTTATAGCAGCAATAAATGCGATGGGAGGACACGTGTCAGTAATCCAACGGCCGAAGGGTCACATCAGCCTAGTGGCACCGGCAGTGGTACGTCAACCGCATTGAATGCGGTTGGCGGATGCGACGTGGCATTAAATGCGGTGGTTGGCTGTCTCTAAAAGGAATCTTCGATGATTGAGCTTGTTCAGCCGAAGACCCCTCGTGTAGCCGAGGGCTCCCTGTGTAGCCGAGGGCTCATTGTGTAGCCGAGGGCAGTCTTGCACCGATACTTCACCCTGATGCCGTATTCGCGTATCCGATACGTATCCGATACCGACACCTCGATGCGTATCCTTTGTAAATTGCCGTATCGCCGTACCCGTATTCGCGTATCGGCGTATCGACGTATCCGTGTCCGTGCAACATAGGCCGAGGGCTCCTTGTGTAGCCGAGGGCTCCTTGTGCAGCCGAAGGCTTGGTTCAGCCGAAGGCTTCCCCTGGTGTCGAGGGCATGAGAATGCCGAAGGCCCATGTCTTCGCCCGTTTCCTCCCAGCAGCTTCTCATGCCAGAAAGGTTATCCTGTGAGTTCCGGAGCCTTCGGCCAAGGAGGCCGAAGGCATCCCAGTGTGTATTCTGAGCTACTTTGGGGCTTGGGCCGTTGTATTTGGGCCTGGGTTGTTTCTTGGGCTCAATGGACTTGTGTAGGAGAAGTAGGAGTCTATGGGCCGGGGGTTCCTGGGCCATATACTCCATCAGGAGTCCCTCACTCCTTTTGCCGAAAGGTACTTGAGGGAAAAGGAGTAGATGCGTTGATTCTTCCGGGGGCTTCATCGCCTGTCTGGGTGCCTTTGTTTGATAACTTGTCTTCTGTTGATTGCCGAAGGCTTCCCTCAGTCCCTCACATGTCGAGGGTTTTCTGAGGGAAGGTACTCGTAACCTTCGCATGTTCGCCGGGGGCTCCCCCCTCAGTCCCCCACACGTCGAGGGTTTTCTGAGGAAAGCATAGATGTATTGTCTGCATGTATTGTGATGAGGGGTTGTACTGTGATGTTTGCCCGGAGGCCGTATGCGTCAATTGTAAATTGTTGCATGAAGAAATTTTTGTTGTGTATGATCCCCGAGGGGTGTATCCCGGGCGCTGAATAATCATTTCAAAAGGCACCCCAAGGTAGGCAATGCGGCCCTCGATAAGGCAGGAAGGAAACTGATTGAGAAGCCCGCGGGTTCTGAGAAAGTAATCGCTATTAAGGAAGCGACGCTGCCCGAGGAGCTCTACTTGTTAGGATTCCGAAGATACCGTCTCCCGGGGGAAAAGGACGAAAAATACCCTAGAATCGACCGAGGGTATCTGAATGCCAGAGGTTGTTCACCGAGGGCTCTTGTTGTGTTACTTAGAAAATTTTTCTTGTCTTCTTTTGACCCTAATCCTTCCCTTATTTTTTGCAGGTGACATAATGGATGTCCAAGCCTTCGCCCGATTGACAAAGAAGCTGGCCAAGGTGCCGAAGAAGAAGAAAGACGAGGGGTCCCCGAACCAGCCCCTCGTCGATGAGGCGTTGAAGAAAGCAGGGACCGCCAAGGTCCCGGAGGGTGGGGGCCCCTCCCAAAAACCCGCTGCTGATTCCGGTGCTGGTGCCGGAGGCTCCCAAGACGGGGAGCTAAAGCGAAAAAATGCTGGGAAGGGGGTCATGCCCCCGGAGAAGAAGAAGAAGAAGATGGGGGGGCCGAGAAGACGGACGCCCCCGTTGTCATCGTCGAAGAGCACTCTTCCTCCTCCCCTTCGGGAAATATCCTCCCTCCTCCCGGGGGCCAGGATAACAGCCTGGCTTGGCCCCGGGATGATGTGCAGTTCTCTATCACCAAGGGAACTGCCATCATGCATGGCACCCTCAACCCGAGGGAGTTCCTAAAGGGTGCCACGCCCCCGACTGACAAGTCGGTGCTGTCGAGGGCCAAGGATGACGCCCTCAGCGCCAAAGTGCTCCAAGCCTCTGTCACCGTAAGTCTCGCTCAGCTTTTGTTTAGTTGGTGATTTCGGCGTATACATTTTTTTTTTTTACTTTGCCAAACTGATTTTTGTTGTATGATGGTTTTGATCTGCAGGCTGCCCTCGGTCTTGGAGAGCTGCTCCAGAGGATGGAGCAATATCAGGCGCAGAAGCGCCAGGCTGATGAGGCCCTGGCGGAGTCCCGGCGGCAACTTCAAGAAGCTCAAGAGACCCTCCGGCTGGAGAAGATGGCGTTCAATAGCATCCTCGAGAATAACAAAGTGATCGCCAGAGCCGAGGGGAAGGCTGACGCAGAGAGGGCCGCTGCCGAAGCAGCCAAGATTGCCGCCGAGGAGGCCGAGGCAGCCAAGAAGGAAGCTGTCGCCGAGGCTGAGAAGAACGCCGTCGCCGCCTTTGTCGCTGAGGGCTGGAGGGCCGAGGACCGGAAAGAATGGGTGGCCTCGGTCATAGAGCAGGGCGTCGAGGGCTGGGTGGCAGGCCCCGGATCTGAATGGATGGCCCTGAAGGGCAAAAACTATTTTGATGGGGGCGAATTTTTTACCCAGCGTCTGATCTACAGGAAGCTGGCCGGCCACTTTGGCGTTGACCCTAGCCACTTCGATCCCTCGGCCTACGGCCTTCCTCCTCGTCAGCCTGATGTCCGGAATCCCCTCCCGGAGGGCGAAGAGAGGCGCCAGCTCTCGGATTCTGAGTTGATGAGGGAATGCGGCCTCGCAGATGAGGATGAAACTGCTGATGATGCCACCACTGAGCCCAAGACCGACGGAGTCCAAGGAGCTTAGACTCAGGATCTTTTCGATGTATTATTTTTAATAGCCTGTATCCCTCGGCTTTGGCCATGTAATGAAACAATCTCTTAAATTCTGAATAGATTTCGCCTTTGGGCTTTTGTTGAATGAATGCCTCCGTTTTTGCCATTTTTATTTGCCTTCGCTCTCTTCCTTCGTGAATGTATGCCTTTCTTTACTTGGATGAATGCACGTTTTCCCGGAGGGCCCGAGTTTGTGGACTTAGAAAAATTTTTCTAAGTGTAACTCCTTGCTAGCCTTCGGTAGTAGTGTAGAATCTCCGGGGGCTTGTTGTTGTGGACTTAGAAAATTTTCTAAGTAAGAACTTTTGTCGCGAGCCTCCGGTCGTAGTGTAGGACCGACCCCCTTCGGATGTTCGTAGTAGTGATGCCGAGGGATAGAATGAATTGGAAGCTTTCATTTAGTAGTGTAGTGATGAGTCTGTAGGTGAAGAGTTGCCCTCCCGAAGGGTCCCCATTTGTGGACTTAGTCATTTTTCCACGAAGTTTCAATAGATACTGTGGTGAATCCGTCGAGTGTGAGGATTGCCTGAGCCCTCGGTGTATATGGTTGCCGAGGGGTACGAGACCGGTGACATTCTGCCTTCGGTACGAATTCTCTGGTTCGTGTAGATAATAGATTTAGCTTGCCTCAGAGCTTTGTGTAGCCTTCGGCGTGTCACATAGTTGACTTTGATCCAACCGAGTTCTGATCTAGGTGAAGTTTTGTTCTTCTTAGGCCTCCGGTGGAACTCTTGTACTCCAAGGCTTCATGTAGTGAAGCCTTCGGCTATGTAGCCAGATGATTCGATGTTGAGAGATTCTCTTGTGCATTTGTAGCAGCCTTCGGCAATGTATATCCGAAGTGTTGAGCCTCCGGGGAGAATAGTATCCGGGGAGTTCCTTCCCCCCTACACATCTTTTTTTTTTTTTTTTTTTTTTTTTTTTTAGATGGTGTAGGAGAGGCATCTAGAAACTTGGTTTCTAGGAAAGGCTTGGCCTATATGGGAGGCAACGGAACAAACCGTTGGCTCCCCCTTCGGGAATGACCTTCCGATATCCCGAAGGGTTTGAGGGTCGTTTCCTCGGCCCGAGACATCGTCTGTTGCCTGCTTCCCCTTGGGAGATAGCACGGAAAGCGCCTCGGTTTTGAAAGTCGTCCCCTCAGCCCGAGACATGGTCTGTTGCCTGCTTCCCCTTGGGGGATAGCGCGGGGAGCGTTTCGTTTGTGGAAGTCGAATCCTGGGCCCGGGACATGGTCCGTTGCCTGCCTCCCCTTGGGGGATGGCGCGGAAAGCGTTCCTGGGAAGGGTTTTATTTGTGTGTAGAACACAAATAGCCGGGGGCACTTGGTACCAGCCGGAGCCGAGGGGTATTGCACCCCCCAGTTTTTTTTTTTTTTTTTTTTTTTTTTTTTTTTTTTTAGGAGGAGAGTGTGTAAAAGTTTGAGAAAACACTTGGTGTTTTTTAAGAGTGATGGGGGTGACCCATACACTTGGTACTTGGTACCTAGATTGTTGTTCCCCCTCACGAGAGGGAGAGGCCTTGGGCCTATTTTGGTGAGGCGATGAGGGCTTGGCCACTCATGTGTGGAAGAGAAGGGGGGCCTTGGGCCGTTTGTACCATATGTAGGTGATGAAGGCTTGGCCTTTCGATTATTCCTCAAAAACAGATGGGGCCTTGGGCCATTGATCATTTACACTTGCTGAGGATGAGGGCTTGGCCACTCATTGGTAAAACTTCACTAGGTGGTGCACATTCCAATGTCTAGGAATCTCTGTCCCATTAGGACGTTTTAACTTGTATGTCCCCGGTTTGATGATGGCTGAGATGACGTAGGGGCCCTCAAACTTGGGTGCCATCTTCCCTCCTTCGGTGGGTAGACTGGCCTCCCTTCGCCGGAGGACGTAGTCTCCCACCTGGAATTCCCGGGAGCGGACCTTGGCGTCGATGTATCCTTTGACTTGTCTTCTATAGTTTTCGGCCCTGAGGAAAGCTTGCTCTCGGCGTTCCGAGATGAGATGAAGGTCGAGGGCCATGTTGGCGTCGTTGGCCTCGGGCTCATATTGTTCAACCCTTCGGGTGGGAAGAGTCACTTCTGTTGGAGCCTTAGCCTCGAAGCCATAGCATAGGGAGAAGGGTGTCTCGCCTGTTGCGCGCCGAGGGGTGGTGCGGTAGGCCCATAGGATGTTATGAAGCTCTTCTACCCAGCCTCCCCCTTCGGCTTCCAGCTTTTTCTTCAATCCTTCAAGTAGGGTTCGGTTGGCATTTTCCACTTGCCCGTTGCCCTGAGGGTAGGCAACGGAAGAGAATGTGTGCTTGATGCCCCAAGCCTCAAGGAGGGCACAGAAGGGGGCTGCCTCGAATTGAGTCCCGTTGTCGGAGATGATTTGTTGGGGGACGCCAAACCTTGTGAGAATGTTCTTGAGGACGAAGTGACGGCACCGGGCCTCCGTGATGCTGGCGAGGGGTTCGGCCTCCACCCACTTGGTGAAGTAGTCAATGGCCACAATGATATACCTGTTGTTGGAGGTACCCCTCGGCAGAGGGCCTACTAAGTCAATTCCCCATCTGGAGAAGGGTATAGCGGTACTGATGGGGGCATAGTTGACCGCTGGTCTGCCGGGGGCCTTCTGAAAGTGTTGGCAAGCGGTGCACCTTCGGGCTAGATCAGCACAATCTCTAGCCATCGTGGGCCAGAAGTAGCCCTGAACTATGAGCCTTCGGGACATGGAGAAGGGTCCCTGGTGAGCTGAGCAAGTGCCACTGTGCACTTCCTCCATGGCGACTTCGGCCTCATCTTGATGAAGGCACCGAAGGAGGGTGCCGTTGTAGGATCTCTTGTAAAGCCTCCCGTTTTCGAGGGTGTAGCTGGGAGCCCTCAGTTTTGCTAACTTGGCGCGGGCTTCGTTTTGGGGCAATTGCCCCGTGGTGATGAAGGTGATGATGTCAGAGATCCAGTCCTCCGGCCTCAGGTTAACGCTCATGACGGGGCTCGCGTGGGTGCTTGAGAGGCTAAGTTCCTCAATTCTTGCAATTTTTGAGAGGTGTTCGGGGGATTCATCCGAAAGTTTGGATAGAATGTCGGCCTCGGAGTTTTGAGCCCTCGGTATTTGGGTCAGAGAATGTGCCTCAAACACCTTGAGCAACTCTTTAGCCGCTTCTTTGTATTGTTTCATCCTCCCTTCTTTGGCTTCGTACTCCCCGGAAATTTGGCCCACGACGAGTTTGGAGTCACATTTGACGTGGATCATTTTAGCCTTCAGATTCGCCGCCAGCCGAAGGCCACAGAGGAGGGCTTCGTACTCGGCTTCATTGTTGGAGACTTTGAAGGAGAAGCGGATGGCATAATAGGCGCGGAAGCCTTCGGGCGTGATCAGAACTACTCCCCCTCCGCATGCTTTGGCGGCCGAGGAGCCATCGGTATAGAGTGTCCACCATTCATCGAGGGGTGCCGAGGGCTCCTCACCCACCGCTGATCTCGCGGTGCATTCCGTTACGAAGTCCGCCAGGGCTTGGCCCTTAATGGCAGGCCTCGGACGGATGTCTATGTTGTATTGGCTGAGGAAGATGGCCCATTTCACCATCCGGGAGGAGCTAGTGGGACTTCTCATGAGGGCGCCGAGGGGTTGATGAGTGAGCACTTGGACCGGATGAGCTTGAAAGTAGTGGCCAAGCTTCTTGACGGTCCAAACGATGGCTAGCACCGTCTTCTCGACGGGAGAATACCTAAGTTCGGCCTCCCGGAGGGTTTTGCTGACGTAGAAGATGGCATGTTGGATGCCGTCTTCCTCTCGGATTAGTACTGAGCTGATAGCCGCAGGGCTAACACCGAGATATAAGTATAAAGTTTCCCCCACCTTTGGTTTGGAGAGCACTGGGGGAGAGGAGAGGTACTTCTTGAGTTCGTCGAAGGCCTCTTGACACTCAGACGTCCACTGAAAGCCCGCCGTTTTCCTCATGATTTGGAAGAAGGGGAGGGCCCTCTCGGCTGACTTAGAGAGGAATCGGTTGAGGGCCGCCAGGCGACCCGTCAGCCGTTGGACTTCTTTGACGTTGCGTGGGGGCTCCATGTTGATGATGGCCTGAATTTTCTCGGGGTTGGCCTCAATACCCCTTCTGCTGACCATGTAGCCCAAAAACTTCCCTCCTTGTACGCCGAAGGTGCACTTCTTCGGATTTAGCCGGAGGTTAAATTTTTGCATGATGGCAAAAATCTCCCGGAGGTCGTCGGCGTGGGTGCCTGCCTTCTTACTTTTGACGATCATATCGTCAACGTAAGCCTCCATGGTGCGTCCCAGGACAGCTTGAAAGACCCTAGCCACCATGCGTGTGTAGGTGGCGCCTGAATTTTTGAGGCCGAAGGCCATCACAAGATAGCAGAAGATGCCTTCGGGTGTCATGAAGGCTGTTTTTTCAGCGTCTTCCTCATGCATGTAGATTTGATGATATCCGCGGAATGCGTCGAGGAATGACATGATTTCGCACCCGGCGGTCTCATCCACCAATTGGTCAATGTTTGGCAGTGGGAAAGGGTCCATGGGGCACGCCTTATTCAGATCCGTATAGTCCACGCACATGCGGAAGGTTGGAGGTTTTTGTGCGAGGACTACGTTTGCCAACCAAGAAGGGTATTTTACCTCCTTGATGTGCTTGATAGAGAGGAGCATGGCCACCTCCTTTTTCACAAATTCCCTTCTCTCGGCCGAGAGGGGTCTTCTTCGCTGTTGCACTGGTTTGGCCGAAGGGTCCACCGCTAGGCGGTGGGTGATAACCCTTCGGTCAATTCCTGGCATATCCTCCGGCCCCCATGCAAAAACAATGGAGTAGGCGCGGAGGGCTTCGGTGATGCTAGCCTTCAAGTCTTCGGGGAGCTTGGCTCCAATCTTCAGGACTCTCTCCGGCTTGGCCGGATCGAGTATTAAGTCTTCGGTCTCCTCGGCAGGCTCAGCCCTCGGCCTGACTTCTTCTCCCTCCAAGGCCTTGGTGGTGATGGTGTCCACACGAAACTCAGTTTTACTAACCTTCTTGGTAAGCTGAAGGTAGCAGGCCCTGGAGAGTTTTTGATTCCCCCTTGAATAGCCGATGCCGGTGGGCGTGGGGAACTTGAGGCAGAGGTGTCTCATAGAGATGATGGCTTCTAAGTCCTCGAGGGCAGGCCGGCCGAGGATGATGTTGTGTGCGCAGTCGAGGTTGACGACGACGAATTCCACTTCGAGCTTGGCTCTATGGGATCCGTCGCCGAATTCAACCGCGAGAGTGATGACGCCCTCGGCGTCAATGCTGTCCCCCGTAAATCCGGAGAGGGGGGTGTTGATGTGCCGAAGGGACCCCCTGTCGAGTCCCAACTCCTGGAAAGTGCTGAGATACATGGCGTTGACAGAACTCCCCGTGTCGACGTAAGTCCGGTGGATGATGGCGTCATTGATCTCGGTGCGGATAACGAGGGCATCCCTATGCGGCAGAGAACCCGAGGGGAGGTCCGCATCTGTGAAGAAGATTGGATCCGTCCTCGTCCTTTTAGCTGGGGGCATGTGATTGACTTCCCCAATGTAAAGGGACTGTGCCCACTTCTTCCGTTGGCTTGTTGAATCGCCTCCGGTGTTGCCGCCGTTGATCATGTGGATGTGGCGCTTATGTTGCTGATGGGAGCCCTCTCCCTCGTCGTCGAGGCCACCAATTTCACGTTTCTTCCCCTGTGGGTTCCCCAAGGGGATGGTGTTGGGGTTTACCCATTTATTTGCCTTCGGCGGAGGCCCTTGATGATGAAGGGGGCCCTGGGGAGGAGGACCCCTGATAAATTGAGACAAGTGGCCCGCCTGTATCAGCCTCTCGATGGCGTTCTTCAGCTGATGACAGTCGTCGGTTTTGTGTCCATGGTGGCGGTGAAAGCGGCAATATGGCTCATCGGGGCCGATGGCATAGATCTCGAGGGGTGTACGCGAGTCTCGCTCAACGAGCCCCCGCTCTTCTGCATGATCAAGGATGACGCTGACGGGATGCGTCAAGGGAGTGCGTGGGTGCTCAAGGAGGACAGGTTGCGCCCATGCCTTCGGATTATTCTTGTAACCGCCCCCGGTTCTGGCTTGGCCACCTCGGGGGCGATCATTATATTGAGCCTCGCGGTTGGCCGGGGGAGGAGGTCCTCCGGGCCGATTCCTGCCTTCATTTCTCTGAGAAGGATCCGTGTTGCGGCGGTCCTTCTCGATCTCTTCTGCTTCGGCGTATCGGTCCCCCCGCTGAAGGGCCTTCGTATAATCGCGGGGGGGATCGGTGATAAGGCTCCGAGAGAAGTTACCGTTGCGGAGGACGGTGTGGAAGAGGGCCATTAGTGTCCTGTCATCAGCGCCTTCGACTTCGAGGGAGGCCTGCCTCCAGCGTTCTAGGAAGTTCCGAAGGGTTTCCTCCTTCTGTTGTCTCATGTTTAGGAGGTGGGAGAAGTGTTTCTTTGAGCGGTGCCTTCCTGCAAATTGTGCAAGGAAGCGGTGGGCAAGTTCTTGCCAAGAATCAATGCTGCCTTCGGGCAACCGGTTGAACCACTCATACGCGGGCCCCTCCAAGGTGGAAAGGAACCAACGGCATAAGTATTCATCCGATGCCCCCATCATCATCATGCTATTTTGATAGCGGCTATAATGCTCTTGGGGATCCGTCTTCCCCTCATACGGCTTGATGGGTTGCCCCCGATATTTGTGGGGGATTTTGGCCGCCAACACCCTTGCGGTGAAGGGTGTTCTTGTGCGGAGTTGGATGAGGGGCTCGCCTGAGCCTTCGGCAAGCTTACGTTTCATTTCCTCCACTTGCGCCCGGAGGTCAGCGTACTCTGGGTCTGGCCTTGCTGTGGAAGCCGTCGGGGGAGCCTGACGATTCTCCTCAAGTTGACGGAGGAGGGCTTCGATGATTTCGTCCTTAGGATCCTTCGGGGCCACCCCTTGGGAGTTGGCCCGGAAGGATTGCGCCTGATTGATTTGGTGCCTGGCGTCATCGGCATGGAGGAGGGCTTTGCCCTTGCTCTGGGGTGGAGGTATGCCCTCGGCTCCCGAAGCGGAGGCTCCACTCTCCTGAGGCCTGCTGAATTCCTGTTTGCCGAGGCGGTCTTGGACCCCTCGGCGTATGGGAGCTCCCCCAAGCCTCTCAAGTGCAGAGGTCCGGGGTTTCTCCTTCATCAAGGGACGTTTATCCCTGGATTGGGCCTCTTGGGAGGCGGTGTCCTGCGCCATGACCCCCTCGGCGTTGCCAATCCCCGGGGGAGGATTGTTGAACAGAGGAGGGAGTGGTGGTAATTGAATAACATTCCCTCCAGCGTAGGGCTGGAGGGGCGCCTGAGAGGCGAGGGCTCCGGAATTGAGAGCCATGTTCTGAACAAAGGCCGCAAAGGCAGCCTGAAGATCGATGGCCGGGGCCGGAGGGGGAACTTGGTTCTCACTCCGATCCCTCCTTCGATTATCAAGGCCAATGCGGGCATCGGGGGTGTTCTTCTGCAGCTGTTGACGTAGGTCAGCGGTGGCTTGCTCTAATTCGAGGATGACACCACCCTCGGGTACTAAGAGCCTGTTGGAGGCCTCAGCCCCGTTAGTTTCGCCGGGGGCTACGTAGTTTTCCTCAAGGGTCTTGGATTGGGCACGGGTGGTTCTTCCCATCTTTGGTGAGTGTTTTGTGTTTGGTAGAGGGGGAGGGTTTCTTACTTGATAGTTCAGACCTCTCAACGAGAGCACCAAATGATGGATAGTCTACCCGGGGGGTATCTTATCCGAGGGGTTATTGCGGGAATAACTTAGAGAGAAGTCAGAGAAAATAGGAGGAGAGAGAGTTGATTTTATTAAATGAACTCAGCGTGGAGTTGAGATGTGGATTATGTCGATTACAAGGAGAAATGGGCTGCTATTTATAGCAGCAATAAATGCGATGGGAGGACACGTGTCAGTAATCCAACGGCCGAAGGGTCACATCAGCCTAGTGGCACCGGCAGTGGTACGTCAACCGCATTGAATGCGGTTGGCGGATGCGACGTGGCATTAAATGCGGTGGTTGGCTGTCTCTAAAAGGAATCTTCGATGATTGAGCTTGTTCAGCCGAAGACCCCTCGTGTAGCCGAGGGCTCCCTGTGTAGCCGAGGGCTCATTGTGTAGCCGAGGGCTCCTTGTGTAGCCGAGGGCTCCTTGTGCAGCCGAAGGCTTGGTTCAGCCGAAGGCTTCCCCTGGTGTCGAGGGCATGAGAATGCCGAAGGCCCATGTCTTCGCCCGTTTCCTCCCAGCAGCTTCTCATGCCAGAAAGGTTATCCTGTGAGTTCCGGAGCCTTCGGCCAAGGAGGCCGAAGGCATCCCAGTGTGTATTCTGAGCTACTTTGGGGCTTGGGCCGTTGTATTTGGGCCTGGGTTGTTTCTTGGGCTCAATGGACTTGTGTAGGAGAAGTAGGAGTCTATGGGCCGGGGGTTCCTGGGCCATATACTCCATCAGTGCACTTCACAGTAAAGTCAAATTTATTTTCTTAATATGTGTGAAATCAAACCAGGAACTTAATTAAGAACCGGGGGAGTATTCAACAAGCACTATTATGGCTTGAAGATAAATCAGTAGTCTTGTGAAATTAACAAAGATTATATGATGAAATATGTGTATACGTATATATAGACCTGTCCGCGGTTCGAACAAGAACCGCACCGCCGGTTGGCGGTTCCAAATTTCAGGGAACCAGAACTGGAACCACACAGTACCAGTTTCAAAACTGGTTCGGTTCCGGAACAAGAACCGCACCGAATCTCTTAAAAGACAATTTCCAGATTCAAATTACAAAAACTTAATTAGCTTCATTATTTTTTCGTGGTGTAGATCCATCAGCCACGAGACCTTAGGAAATGTGATTAGCTTAGGGCCTTAGGTAATATGGTTCTTGATCTTGGATACAAGTGGACAATTAGTTTCCTTTGACCAACAACCTTAAGTCTCATACAAAAACACAAATTATAATTCCAAGATAATTGCTTTCCTAGCCTACCCATATCAACTTAAGGACTAAAACAAATGCACAAATAATTCTCTAAAATGCACACCTTAAAGTATAAGATACAAACATTAGAATTTAAATACCCACACACTCCTTTTTAACACATTGTCATAGAGCTAAACAATCCATGTTTTCTTTCACACATTGCACTCGAGTTAGGATTTTTCTTCTGGATTGTTTTCAGTCCCAAACCAAATCAAATCAGACCAGACCAAACTTGATTTCTATAGTTATAAAATACACAGAGACCAGACGTTTACCAGTAGTCATGGACCCGGGTCGGGCCTTGGCCTGGTCGGGCCTAATTTTTGTGTTGTGGACCCGAGACCGGCCCGGTGGTTAGCCTGTTACGGGTCGGGCCGGGCCAGGCCACCCGCACAGGTACCGGACCGGGCCACCCGCACTGGTCGGGCCGGTTACAATTTTCTTTCTTTCTTTCTCCTAATTATTTCTACAAATGATGCATATTAAAAACAAACTTCAAGTGCAATTATTTGAAATAGAAACTATATTGACTAAGGTAAAACAACAATTAAATAGGAACTACATTTGAAATAGGAACTAAAATTAACTACTTTTTTAAATTACTTAAAACTAAGGGAACAATTAATTAAAAATGGTAATGAACTAATGAACTACTTTAATGAAAAATATAACAATTAACTAATCAACTAATGTTAATAAAATATGTAACTAATAAGAAAAATGTATGAATGTACATACTAATTAATGGGAGTAATAGAATGAATTTAACTAATATTAATTAAAGTGTAAATAATATATAATATATATTGTGTAAGTGTCTATATAGATATATATATATATATATATATATATATACATATATATATACACTTAATATAATAAGTAGATATTAAGTATATAAACGAAGATAATTCGAACTATGTTAGTAGATATAATAATTGTATAGCTAATATGTAATATAATGTTTATAGTATATAATGTATAAGTTTACTACTATAAGATGAGTAATACACTTAATACTTTAATACCTTAAATTTAATATATAAAGTATATATTAAGTAGATGTAATATGTATGTATTAAGTAGGTATTAAGTAGATAATAAATATAAGTAACATAATATATGTATTTATAAGTAGATAATTAATATATAAGTAGATAAAAAGTAGAGATTAAGTACATAAGAAATATAAGTAATATAATATATGTATTTATAAGTACATAATTAATATATATATAAGTATATATAATAATTCTATAATTATTAAATAGTAAAATAGAATGGAGAATTAGAGAATTTGAGAAGATGAAGATGGAGATGATTAAGAATAATAGAATATTAGAGAGTTGAGAGTTGGAAGAGTTGGAGAAGAGGTGTAGAAAATGTATAAAAATAGAAGTATTTATAGTTTTTTTTACCCCCACCCCCCAAATGCCCGGGACCCCCCACCCCCACCCAACGGCTATATAGCCGTTTGGGAGCCGTTACCCAACGGGTAGGGGGCTGTTTGGTTGTTTAAAAAAAATAAAAATCTAGCCGTTAGGCCCGAACCGGGCCGGGTCGCCAGTTCTTTAGCCCGAGCCCGTTATTACCTACGGTCCGGGTCAAAGACCGGTATTGGGCCCGAAGCACCGGGCCAGGACGGTCTCACACAGTAGCGGGCCGGGCCGGTTCACGGGTCAGGTGACCCGAACCGATTCCAAGACTATTTACCAGACCAACAAACTTCAGTCCAAATGAAAACATCCTTATATCTATAAGTAATTGCGAGTTTTAGTGTAAAGAATGAATTGAATTTTAAAACAAATAACAAAACCTCAATTATAAAGTTGCAAATCAGGGGCGCATTGGGCCTTGGGCTAGGGAGGGTCCAGACCTACCCTCAATTTTTTATTTTTTTAAACTAGTACATGTGTAAAAACAATTAGGCCCACCATCAAATTTCAAAAAAAATGTCAATATAGAGCAGTCAAGGTCCATTAGTCGTTAGGTTTGTTCATCCCCACTCTTCTATCCTCCAGCCAAGCCCACAATTAGACCGGCCCAAAATTTCAATATTCCAAATCCAACTCGAAGAATGCAGCTCGCAGGGGAAGAGGCAGCATCGCAGCAGATTAGCCGTCCGCAATAGGACACCGCAGCGTTCCGTTTCGTCAAAACCCCAAATCCCAACCTAAGCTCCGCACTTGGACGGCGCACGGAGGTTCAGGCGCTCAGCACTTGGACAGTTGGACGGCGCACGGCGGTTTTCCAGTTTGGACTGCTTCACTGTTTAGTTTCTGGCTTTCTGCAATTCTGCTATTGGGTCGTCAACTGGGACTCTGGATCTGCGGCCTGCGGAACTATCTAACGGGTAAATTACTAAGCTAATTAGGCTTTTAATTTTAATTACAGCCATGTTTAGACTTTAGTATTACAGCCTTGTTTAATTTTAGGTTTTAGTTTTATTGTGTTTTTAAATCAATTTGAAGACTAAATTACAGCCTTGTTTAGTATGAATTTGATTGCTATATATAAAGTTGATAAGTTGAAAAAACGTGTGTTGCTTACAGGCAATTTTGTGTGATTGTGTCAAGAGTAACAATAAGGTAGGAATAAATAATAAAATCGTTAATGTTGTGTATGGATCTCCTTGAAGTGTTAATATTAGCATCCTGAATAAAATTAACCATTTTGTTAGGGGTTCATCATAGTTTCAATAGAGATTTTTTTTAATGTGCTAGCATTACCAATTAAACAAAACTAAAATTACACTATAATCCATTTTTCCCAACATGCTTTTTACGAATTCCTACATCGGAAAGTTTCTCTGTTCAAATCCTTTCATGAACTTGAAGCATATGGACTACAGTAATAACAATTTACTAATCCATACCTCTACGACATTGCCATAGTACTTGCCCCTTTTGCAATTGTTATGGATTTACTCTATAATTTCAAGGTGTAATAAAATGGTTGAATCTGGATAGGAGAAAGAAAAAAATGGAAAGATTAGAGAAAACTGTCTTTAGTAAAAAAGGTTTAATGGAAAAAAAAATTGTGTGAAGAAATCAAATCCTGAATGTCCTCCTCAAGATGATGCATTATCAACTGTACAATCAATTTCTTCTTTAAATGAGTATGATAAACCGGAGGAGATGAATGATTTAGCAGTAAAAAATGAAACGGTTCAGAATGATCATATCTTAGGAGGTGATAATATAGGATTTGAAAGTATCCAAAAAAATAACTTATGTTTAATAAAACAGGTCAAAATAATTTAGCAGAAAGTCAGAAACTATGTTTAATTTAACAAATTCAAGTCTTTTCTTTTTTATAAAGGTATTAAATTATTAGTATTATTATTATTATGCATGTTAGTGTAGACAAAAAGAGTTTTACATTTTTTATTAAACCCATTTTAAATTCTCCTCCCCTAGGCCTTCAAACAACAGGACTGACCGGCCCTCTTTATCGTGCAGGGATTCATTAAATGGTTTGTTCATGTCTAGAAAATATGAATTATTTAGTTATCTCTGCAGCACAATTACACTTTCGTCCACTCCAAATGTAGAACATTGGAATAGATTGAGATAGTGCGTGTTTATGAGTGCTTCAGTATTTGTAGAATACTAGAATCATAAATTTTATCCTAAATGTTTGGTGTCTTGCAAAGAAAATTCCTCATATTTGCTTATTTGTGTGATGCCCAGAGCAATGCTTATTTGCTTATTTTTGTAACCTATAGTGTACATAGGCTCCGGTGAACTACACAATCACTTTTTGTTTTTTCTTGAATGAATAGATCTAATGCAGTGAGACTTTGCTTTTAGGATGTAAAAAAAAGTTTTTATTAGAACTATTATTACTGGCTTATTTCACTAAAATAAACTCCAACTTTTGAAGCCATTGTGCAGCTAAATTTAAAAGACGTAGTAGAGTTAAAGAAGCTAATGAATATAGGTGAAGAAGCAATTGATATTATATAACATGTATTATATTTTCAGCCCATGCTGAATTGAAATGAGAGATCCACCCAGCTATAATATATGCTTCTTTATTACAACTGATTTGTCTGTATATTCTCTGTTTTTAGTGGGGGTTTTGTCAGTTCTTTTATAGTTAATATTTGGACTTTTTTCCATTGAACTATATAATTTTTAATTTTGAATATTATCTGTTACATAACTTACATTCAAAAATGTTTTATTAGTATTGCTGCCACTTCTAAACCTTGTTAGTGACTTGGGGTGTGTTTGGGAATTGGTTTTTAGGGGGGGAGGCATGTGAGGTTGATGACCCTCCTATTTGTTTTTGGGAGTTCAAAAATTGAAAGGGATGATTTTTTAGGGCTTTTATAACCCTTCAAATGCTCAATTTTTTGAAGGATAACAAAATAAATGATAATTTTAGTTCAATTTAAAATGAATACAAGCTCAAATATTTGAATTCGATATATATCTTAAGCGGTTTTACTTATAATTTTCCGTAGCCCTCCTCTTCCCAAATTTATAACTCCCAAACAAAAACAAGGTTTTATTTCACTTCCCCTCTCCTTCCCCTCTCATGGCTAACCTTCCAAATCTTCCTTCCCCCAAACCCTAAACATACCCTTGGTGTTTTCAGAAATGTTCTCTGCTCATATTTTTACTACTTTTAGCATTGTGAGTCTAGCTCAAACATTCTTCTTTAAAAAGGGTTACAGTGGGTCATACATTTTTCCTTCAGTATATGTATAAATAGGGTACAGTTCATATAAAAAGTGGTCTTCCCATACAAAATGCGAATGACTCCACTTTTGACCATTTGAGGTGCACTATTGCATTTAGATTATTTTCAACATCCACTTTTAGTCATATACAGTACTTTTTGCATACTGGAAGTGTACTTTTTGCAAAAAGTACACTTCCAGTATTTTTTCACCACATTTTCATAATTACAAAATTATGAAAAATGCAGTACATTTTGATTTAATTACGTAAATGTCACCGCATTTTTCATCCACTTTAATGCCAAACTTTGACATATTTTGAACCATTAGATCATAAATCCGATGCTCAAGATTTATTCTTATTTTTTTGGGGAATGACTCTTTATTTGATCCAATATATGTGTGTGTGCGCGCGCCCGCCCGCCCAGACACATACCCTAATGTTGGGGCTGTCAGGAAACCACAAATGGTTATCATTATTACTGTATTGCTAAAGTTGGCCTTTTGTGTGCTGTGCACAAATCCCATTTGCAACTGTACATTTTAGTGAAAATAACCAAGACTATACTAAAAGTGAACATATGCGTTAGCTAAAAACCCACCTCTCTTATCTCTAGAGAGTACTTTTGTTTTTGCAAGGAGAACTTTTTCTTCAGTCAATTTTGGAAAGAAGTTGGCAACGCAAACTGCACTGTTATATATAGGTAGATTATTTTTACATGTTAATTTCCTTTGCAAGGTTGGTCACTGCTCTAACTTAAGCAGGTAAATAGCCATTGCTTAGACCATATAGATTTTCCCTCCATATGGTACAGAATGTGTCATCTTTAGTTTCCTCTGGACTCCAAGAGTTTAAAACCTGCTTGATGAGGACATTGTTGGAATTTGTCATGTTGCCTTGAATATAAAATAAAGGGTACATCCGTACATACTTGTAGCATAAGGTCACTACGTGGAAGGAATCCATAGTTTAATAAAATATTTGGGGTTGTCTTAACTGATATAAAAACATTATCTGTAAATTGTGCAGCTAAAGCATGCCTAAGGTAAAGACAAACCGTGTCAAGTACCCAGAAGGATGGGAACTGATCGAGCCTACTCTTCTTGAGCTACAAGCTAAGATGAGAGAAGGTTTTTTTCTTCTCAGAATTATAAATTTTTCTAGATGGTTCCTCTATTTATGTGGTATCCTTTTGAATTAGGGTATGTTTGAATCGCTTAAAATGTTAGGGAAACGAAGAAATATTTTTAAGGCAAGTTACTTTCTTGTGTTCCGTTTTACCTTAGAAAATGCAAAGGTGAACTAAATACTCTGTATGATTCATGCTCTTCATATTTTTACGGATGTCTACATTTCTTTGTCTTCATATAATAGAATGAAATAAATAATTTGAGTTGGACCAAATTTTAAAAAAAAATGCAGTGAGAATGAACCAGTGTTTTATTCTTTCTCACATTTCCATACTTCTAAATTTCTTTTACTTTTCTCTGCCTATAATCTTCCAAGTTCCATAGTGCTTCAGAAGAGGAGTCTTGATGATTACTATGAGTCTAATTTTTCTGTTATATTCTTGATTTTCAATTTTTTACAGATGTCTTCTTTTCTTAGTCATAATAATATAACAGGATGAAATATACTCCGTATAAAATGTGCTAAGAACAAATTTCCAAAAATAAATGCAATGAGATGCAACCAATGTTTTAGTTCTTCTCACTTCACTTTTAAATTTCTTTTACTTTTCTCTGCCTATAATCTTCCAAGATCCATGGTACTTCAGAAGAGGAGTCTTGATGATTAATATGAGTCTAAGTTTTCTGTTTACAGCTGAGAATGATCCGCATGATGGGAAAAGGAAGTGTGAGGGTTTATGGCCCATCTTTAAAATTTCTCATCAGAAGAGTCGCTACATCTTTGACCTCTATTACAGAAGGAAAGAAATTTCTAAGGAATTGTACGAGTTTTGCTTGGATCAGGGTTATGCAGACCGCAACTTAATTGCCAAGTGGAAAAAGGTTTGTCTCATCATCATATCTAAAAACTGCACGTGTTGAAAAAAAATCAAAAATAGGAGTAAAAGTTGCTGATTTCCTTAAATACTAGTGTCATATTAATGTCTGATAATACCATATTATGGCAACCTGATTTCAAGATTTTGGTACTTCAGTTTTATATAGAGAAAAAGCATTGTACTTTTATCCAGGTCAATCACATTCGTACTCCTGTTTTGGGAAATTTCAGGGGGGGATTAACCGAAAAATAGATGGAAATAAAAGTGATTTGGGTGAGGATGAGTATAGTGGATATAGAGAGGAAATATAAAGTGTCTTGTGTTTATTGATATATGAATGACTGAGGAATAGAACGAAAAGAAAAAAAAGTGATTTGGCTGAAGATGAGTAAAGTGGATATAGAGACCAAATATAAACTTTCTTGTGCTTAGCGATATACATAATCATCCTTACACTATCCTTACATTATACTCCGTATAATTTGGTACAAGGTCAAATTTGTAAATTGATAGCATTTCCCTCCATAGACTGGAGACTGGAGATGACTAGATGGGGATTATCTGACCTTATCCATTTATGTGCTATTTCCACTCCATGGTACCAAAGAAATGCATTGAGCTCTCTCATGTTGCATTCATTTCTTTCCTTTCAATTTCATAGCTACCAAACTATGCCTGTTTCCTGATAAACAAAGTTAACCTTAATGTATCATGAATGTAGCCAGGGTATGAACGCCTATGTTGTTTGAGGTGTATCCAACCTCGGGATCACAATTACCAGACCACTTGTGTGTGTCGGGTTCCTAAACATCTTAGGGAGGAGGAGGTCATAGAATGTGTCCATTGTGGCTGCAAAGGGTGTGCGAGCGGAGATTAATGTCTTATTCCTGCTATTTATAAGTATGACTACGGGGGCTTGTATGATGATGCACTAATTAATTAGCCATCTGTGAGATTGGTTTTGTGCTACCTTCCCTTTTTGTTCTTTCTTGTATTCAACAAGCACTATTATGGTTGAAGATAAATCAGTAGTCTTGTCAGATTAACAGAGATTATATGATGAAATATATGCATATGTATATATAGACCTGTCCGCGGTTCGAACTAGAACCGGAACAAGAACCGCACCGCCGGTTGGCGGTTCCAAATTTCAGGGAACCAGAACTGAAACCACACAGTACCAGTTCCAAAACTGGTTCGGTTCTGGAACAAGAACCGCACCGAATCTCTTAAAAGACAATTTCCAGATTCAAATTACAAAAACTTAATTAGCTACATTATTTTTTTCGTGGTGTAGATCCATCAGCCACGAGACCTTAGGAAATGTGATTAGCTTAGGGTCTTAGGTAATATGGTTCTTGATCTTGGATACAAATGTATAATTAGTTTCCTTTGACCAACAACCTTAACTCCTTAAGTCTCATACAAAAACACAAATTATAATTCCAAGATAATTGCTTTCCCAGCCTACTCGTATCAACTTAAGGACTAAAACAAATGCACAGATAATTCTCTAAAATGCACATCCTAAAGTACTACGTATTGTCGTATAAGATACAAACATTAGAATTTAAAATACCCGAACACTCCTTTTTCACACATTGTCATAGAGCTAAACAATCCATGTTTTCTTTCACACATTGCACATTTGCACACGTGTTAGGATGTTTTCTTTTCGACTGTTTTTCAGTCTCAGATCAGATCAAGCCAAACTTGACTTCCGTAGTTATAAAATACATAGAGATCAGACGTTTACTAGTAGTCATGGACCCGGGTCCGGGTCGGGCCTTGGCTTGGCCGGGCCTAATTTTTTTTGCTGTGGACCCGAGACCGGCTCGGTGGTTAGCCGGTTACAGGTTGGGCCGGGCCACCCGCCCGGGTCGGGCCGGTTACAATTTTTTTTCTTTCCTTTTCCTACTTATTTCTACAAATGCTGCAAATTAAAAACAAACTTCAAGTGCATTTATTTGAAATAGAAACTACATTTGACTAAGGTAAAACAACAATTAAATAGGAACTACATTTGAAATAGGAACTACAATTAACTACTTTTCTAAAGTACTTAAAACTAAGGTAACAATTAATTAAAAATGGTAATGAACTAATCAACTACTTTAATGAAAAATATAACAATTAACTAATCAACTAATGTTAATAAAAAATGTAACTAATAAGAAAAATCTATGAATGTATATACTAATTAATGGGAGTAATAGAATGAATTTAACTAATATTAATTAAATTGTAACTAATATATAATATATTGTGTAAGTATATATAATATATATATATATATACTTAATATAATAAGTATATATTAAGTATATAAATGTAGATAATTCGAACTATATTAGTAGATATAATAATTGTGTAGCTAATATATAATATAATGTTTATAGTATATAATATATAAGTTTACTACTGTAAGATGAGTAATAAACTGATATTTAATACTCTAAATTTAATATATAAAGTATATATTAAGTAGATGTAATATGTATTTATTAAGTAGATATTAAGTATAGATAATAAATATAAGTAACATAATATATGTATTTATAAGTAGATAATTAATATATAAGTAGATAAAAAGTAGAGATTAAGTAGATAAGAAATATAAGTAATATAATATATGTATTTATAAGTACATAATTAATATATAAGTAGATATAATAATTCTATAATTATTAAATACTACGTAGTAAAATAGAATGGAGAATTTGAGAATTTGAGAAGATGAAGATGGAGATGATTAAGAATAATAGAATATTAGAGAGTAGAGAGTTGGAAGAGTTGGAGAAGAGGAGTAGAAAAATGTATAAAAATAGGAATATTTATAATTTTTTTTACCCCCACCCCCAAACGCCTGGGACCCCCCTTTCCCCCCACCCAACGGCTATATTGCCGTTTGGGAGCCGTTACCCAACGGCAAGGGGGCTGTTTGGTTGTTAAATAAAAAAAATTAAAAAATCTTGCCGTTAGGCCCGAACCGGGCCCGGCTGGGCCGGGTCACCATTTCTTCAGCCCGAGCCTGCCCCCGCTATTACCTACGGTCTGGGTCAAAGACTGGTATCGAGCCCGAAGCACCGGGTCGGGCCAGTCCCGCACAGTAGCGGGCCGGTTCACGGGTCGGGTGACCCGAACCGAGTCCAAGACTATTTACCAGACCAGATCAGACCAATATACACCAGACCAGCAAATTTCAGTCCAAAGAAAACATCCTTATATCTATAAGTAATTGCGAGTTTTAGTGTAAAGAATGAATTGAATTTTAAAACAAATAACAAAACCTCAATTATGAAGTTGTAAATCAAGGAAAGATAACTACTAACATATGCATACAATCAGGGGTGTATTGGGCCTTGGGCTAGGTAGGGTCCAGACCTACCCTCAATTTTTTACTTTTTTAAACTAGTATATACGGAGTATGTAAAAACAATTATGCCCACCATCAAATTTCAAAAACATGTTACTAATAGGGAAAATGGAAACTAATAATCCAACCTTTTAGCGGTCTTCTTTCAATAATCCCACCTTTTGATTATTCATGAATAATCCAACATTTTCACCTCATCTTCATTCATTGGTCCCTAGTCGGTTAATGACCTATTATTCCAAGTTATTTTCTTATCTTTCCAAAATATTATCTTTGTGAAAGATGAGATTTATGGTATAATGATTTGCAAAGATAAGAAAATAGCTTGGAATAGCAGGTCATCAACCGGTCAGGGACCAGTGAATGAAGATGAAGTGCAAAGGTTGGATTTTTCATGAATAATCAAAAGGTGGGATTATTGAAAGAAGACCGCTAAAAGGTTGGATTATTAGTTTTCATTATCCTTACTAATATAAAGCAGTCAAGGGCCACTCTCCTATCCTCCTGCCAAGCCCACAATTAGACCATGGCCCAAAATCACAATATTCCAAATCCAACTCGAAGAATGCAGCTCGCAGAGGAAGAGGCAGCACCGTAGCAGATTAGCAGTCCGTTTCGGCAAAACCCAAAATCCCAACCTAAGCTCCGCACTTGGACGGCGCACGGCGGTTCAGGCGCTCAGCACTTGGACAGTTGGACGGCGCACGGCGGTTTTCCAGTTTGGGCTGCTTCACTGCTTAGTTTCTGGGTTTCTGCAATTCCGCTATTGGGTCGTAAACTGGGACTCTTGAGCTGCGGCCTGCGGAACTACCTGACGGGTAAATTACTAAGCTAATTAGGTTTTTAATTTTAATTACAGCCATGTTTAGACTTTAGTATTACAGCCTTGTTTAATTTTAGGTTTTAGTTTTATTGTGTTTTTAAATCAATTTAAAGACTAAATTACAGCCTTGTTTAGTATGAATTTGATTGCTATTTATAAAGTTGTAATCATTATTTATAGTCGTATGAATTTACTTGTGATTTGTAATTATTAATCTAATAATTATTAAGAATTAGTATTAGTGTAATAACTAGCCTTATTTTTAATAAAGGTAATGAGGTAAATTGGCAATGATGTCATTATCAAACAATATTAATCGATGAAAACCCATAGAGAACAATTGTAAAATTGTGGCATTTTTGTATTTGACTTTTATGAAAACTCTTTTTTCTATTATGTTTATTTTTTCTTTAATTTTTTGTTACAATAGATGTTTTTTTCCGATATATATTATTTAATTAATAATATATTTATTTAATTTTAAAATTGTGGTAATTTTGTTGTCACAGTTTCATTTCTCACCTTGTGGGCTTGTGGCAGTTCTGGCTGTGTGGCTGCCTTCCGTGTCGGCTCAGCCCCTAGGCACCAAGTAAATCATAAACTCATAACTCACAAGTGTTTATTCTTTAAATTTTTATTTTAGTTTAAGTAGCTAATAGCTTGAAATCTTGATTCTTAAGATTGAGTGTTTGACTGTTAGACTTGTACGATTTTTTTAGAATGTAAAATGTGAGTTTCTTCTAGTTTTGGTGAATAATTTTTGTCATTATTTCGTTTATAGAAATGGAAAATTAGGATTGTGATTTTTAACATATTCATTTGAATTATGTGATTGAAAATAATATACTCTCTGTTTGCTACTCCTGCCGTCCCATAAATATTGGCCATATTTTTGTCAATGATGGTCAAATTTGATCAATGATATTTTTTAATACGAAATTATTTCAATAATGAAAATTTATGAAAATGTTCTTTGTTCAAAGTACTTTCATAAAACCATAAAACTTATAAGCTCCACACAAATTTACTAACTAAAATCATTGTCCAGAATTTACTGTCGTTCACCAAGAAAAGTCACATTAGCCAAGTTGTATGGTACAAAGGAAATATTTTATTATTTGTTGTCAATTTAATTAGGTATGGCTACCAAATCTACTTCTAAAAAGGAAAAAAAACATACTGCATTGTTTTTCTACGCCTACTACAAGTACAGAAAACAAACAACACTCAAATGACTTGATTGATACTGTAGCTATTTCACCTGTTCAAGGGGGATTAGTTTCTGATGTGGATGAAACTGAGTGGGATCCGGGAAAACAGAAAAATAAGTCATTGGGTGTTTAAAAAAAGAGATGAAATCGTATGATCTTATTTGATGTTAGAGAAAAGAGAAGAAATCATACGATCTTATTTGATGCTTGGATCTTATCAACTGAAACTCAACTTTTACAAAGGCTGAGTTAAAGAATGTTGTGTTCAGTTAACATTTTAGTTTCATTTATTGTATGTAGTTAAAAATATTGATTTAAATTTTAATGGATTTTAATCATTATGTTCGAACTGTTTACGCGTTTAAGTTTTTTTACATAATGTTTTTAGTTTACAAGTGGCTCCCCTTGAATCTCCGTCCTTTCTATGCCCAATGTAAAATGTAATTACATTATATACGGTGATGGATGTTTAGAGTTATTTCATCCTTAACTTAAGTGAATAGTAATTTAATTTAGTTATTCTTTGGAAGAGCCTTGTGGTTATACTTAGTGAAACAAGTGGATGGTGATAAGTTCATTATCATTAATGGAAGGTCTTAAGATCTGTTACAATATGAACCTATATGTTTGCAAATAAGTAATATGGAGTACATGTAATGTAGAACAATTCAAAGAACAAATACATTTTTTTTGGAATTTATGCTAAGTCTAAAACAATGTGATTCAAAAATCACATGCAAAGCTGTCCAAAGGTGATTTGATAAGAAATATGTAGCTAATTTAAGAATCACATGCAAATTTGATTTAATGACTTGTAGGCCTTGTGATCGGAAATATGCAGCTAAAAATTGTTACTTGTGAATATTCAATACTAAATAGCACCTGTTTTACTAATCACTTTGTATTAGAAGGGACCACCTATCAATTTAATGGTAAGGAAGTAGATAAGAATATAATAATAGTGGTTATAATAATAACTCAGAATACATGCATGTATATAGATTGATAGACTAGAGCGGTCGTGTTTATTTGTTAAAAATCTCCTATTATTTTTTTCATGTTGCTTGGATTTATATTTGAGTTTTTGTTTCAAAACTATTACTCAAGTGAAACTTTCTTACAAAATGTGACCAATAGTTACTATAGTAGTCTCATTGTCACTTAAGTGTAAATATTGAACATAAGTTACTATGACTAAGTTACTATTATAGTCACTTCACTTAGGAGGTAACATTTTTGTAAGCAACATTTACTTTAGTTATATATACGTAATTATTTCTTTATATTTTTCTGTATTGTGCTAACTTATTGCTACTCACCTTTCTATTCAAATATCTGCATTGCAGATTTTTCTTCCTGATAATTTGAAGAGTAAATATAAAAGAAGTTTAGTAGTGTCAAAGTACTGCTTTCTGCTTTCAGGCGATGAAGATGTAAGTATTTAGTTATTCACTGATGTTATTTACATGTCTCGTGTTTTGACGTTTTATGTTAATCCATTCATTCAACGTGAAATGTAATCAGTTGCATTAATGAGGTGATATTTGTACATTTGTAGACTTTTTTAATGGGCCCATATTTACTTTTTTCTCATAGTTTTCACTTAAACCAGACTATGTGCTTTTCTCCCCCGCTTACTTTCTCCATTTTCTCATCCAAACACAGAAAACTCTTTCCAAACAAACAATTAAGTTGGTCTTGACTCTTGACATGAGATTATTATAATCCTTAGTCAGAAAGTAAGGATACACTAATTGAGAATTAGTTCTATGCAGACTTAAAGCAAATGCAGGTGCACTCACCAATTTTGAGGTGCTTGAGTATCTAAGATCAAGAGGAGCCGGAAAGGGTGCTGCACGTGTCATGCTCCCAATTTTGGCATCTGAATTTAAGGTTAACTTTTGTACTTTCTACCAATGGCTTCTTGACATAATACTGTGATTATTTATGAAGTTTTATTTTATTGCAGGTTTTTGATTATTTAGAACAGACTGTTGTGTGCAGTAATCAAACTAGAGAAATTATTGGCCAATTTGTAGAAAAATGTAAAAGCTTCAATATATCAAAAGCTGAAATTTTGAACATCATCAATGTCAGACCATGCACTCTCTCTCAAATTTACCCGGTAAGGTTTTTTCAATATTCCATGATTGGGAACGGCGCATTTGTTGAACGTTGAGGGATAAACATTCTTGATGACAAAGTAGGTGTTTGTTTGGTTGCCAGCTTTCTCTCATTTTTTTAAAACGTTGAGGAATAAAGGTTCTCAGGAGATATTAACCCTTTTGATTTTTCCCCTTGGAGGGGGAGGGGGCTAGGAATATGCAATGACAACAAAATTTTTAAATATTAATCATTGACATTTAATAACCAAACAATCCCCCTTCATTGCGAAGTCTGGTGTGTTGTTACAGATAATATTTACTCTTCCCGTCCCGAAATTAACTTCCACATTCCTATGTGGGGCGTTCCAAGATTAACTTCCTACTGTACTTTATTTCTACTTTTCATAACCTTTTGCTTTGAAAGTACTCATTTGCCTCCTACTGTAATACGAAGTATTCATTTACCGCTTTTACTTTATTTGGACTACTACCTTCCTTTATTATTTCAAAGGGTAATTTTGGAAAGTCAACTTTTTACTTTTTCCTACCTAAAAGCCCGTGAAGCCAAACCGGGAAGTTAATTTCGGGACGGAGGGAGTATTTGATTATATATGTTATCATGGTAATTACGATGTTTTAGTTTCTCTTTGTATACTACTGTTAAATGTTAGTTTCCCCCCACTCCTCTCCCACAGATAATAGAGGAATATGATGTTCGGTTTCCGAGAAGTGAGGAAACTGGTGATGAGGAAGAGAGTGAAGAACCTTTGATGGCACTGGTGGAGACAATACAGCATGTTTTGCCTGCCCCTCCTTCTCCAATGCAGGAGGCTGATGGGGAAGTTGACGAAAAAGTTGATGAAGAGATGGAAATGTCTGCTGGTGAAGATAGAGTCCTTGAGACTAATGAATAGTAGCACACTTTACCCAGGAGATTTGTAGGTGTTATGTGACCGGTTTTCAGTTGGATTGGTTAAGACAATACAACCCTATGTCATTGTGTTGCCTGTTGACTAACATTTTGCAGTTCATCAAGATGTTATATATGCAAGTCTTATACTCGGTACTATATTTGGCATGATTGTAAGATAGAGCCTTTGGTTGTAAATCTTTTCAAGTAGAGTTTTTTATGCTAATATTTGTGGTAATGTTTATCATACTATGCCTCCATATTTTTTATGGCCAATTTTTCGTTCTGTCCATTTTAATTTCTGAACTCAATCTTCTACATGAACATGTTTTGTAGCTGGAATATTTACAAAATTGGTAGTGGTTTACAAGCTTTTCAATTTCAGTGTAAGTTTTAATATTCTTTGATCCTGAAATGCGTATGGCGGTATGACGCACGATGTGTGTCATACCGCCATAAATTGTAAAACTGTAAAAGTGTGGAGTCCCTTAAAATTTACTGTGGCGTCCATGTCATTAGGTGGGGTGAAATTAATGTATCAGAATTCAGAACAAGTAGGGATGACAATTTAACCCGACCCGATGGATACCCGCACCGAATCGAATCGGTCAAAACAGGGAAAACTACTTTGACTGGGTAATGGGTACGAGTCGGGGAATGCCCGATTTATGTAAACGGGCAATGGGGTAGTTATGGCCTTATGGGTTTATACCTATTTGCCCCGTTACCCGCCCCGTTTAATTTGGATACGGTTACCCGCACCATTACTCGACCCGCACAATTAACTTATACTCCCTCCGTCCCAGAAAATTCTTCCAAGTTTGACTTGGATCGGAGTTTAAGAAAGTGGGAATAAAGTGAAAATGTGTGGTTGTAGTTGTGTAAGAAAAAGATGAAATGAATGTGAGCCACACAAATAATCAAAGAGGTGAAGTTGGAAGAATTTTCTGGGACGTCCCAAAAAAGAAAGTTGGAAGAATTTTCTGGGACGGAGGGAGTATATTTTAATAGTTTGTGTATTTATTATTTAATATATTAAGTATATATGAATAGTAGCACATTAGTATATGACACTTATTCCCTCTAATACTTTGAAATAATATTCAACTAATCGGTTATCCTTTGCAATTATGAGGAGTTGGAGCTCAACGTTCATTATTTAAGATTTCGAATTTTCAATATCATTCATCATCCTTTGTTAACTTCTACAAGATTTATTTTCTTCCCATATTGATTATTTGATTTTTGTGGTTTTCTCTGCACATTGTTCACATTGTCACTCTCTTAGTTTTTCACACAATAACTTTCATAAAACTCACGTATGAGTTTAAAGTCCAAATATTGTGAAACATTACTATATCTTGCTTTAATTTATGTAATTGCTAATAATTTTGTAGAGGTGTATTGGAAGATTAGATTAATTTTGATTGGTTGCTCTAATTTATATCAAGTTTTAAATATAAATTATGAGATTTCTAAAATAGTAACTACAAGAATATCAAAATCATAGTATTAGAAGTACCTTTTTTAGAAATAATTCCAAATCTATAATCAAAATAAAAGTTGTGGACAAAAATGTGACTCTAGTAAATTTAGTATTTATAATTTTATTCAAATGTTATATCGTAGTGATTATAAAACTTACTCATGGTAACTTATAGTCACATTTATGTCCATATATTTTTTTATTAGTAATATTTTAGGGAAAAAATGGGAATCATGATGTTACTTGTATACATTACTATTCTTAAATTTAGATGTTGAATGTTGGTGGGATATGATTATTGAATTTTTGGAAATTAAATGTTTTTGTGATTCATATTTAGATTTTACTATCGAGACAAGACTTAGTCTTTTGATGTTGATGTGGTAAGAAATTCAAAATTTTGAATCTAGACATATAATTTGTGAATATTAGGTTCAAACGATTTTAACTTTTTGTGATGTTTTAAAAAACTTTATTTGTAGTACTATTTAATTTTGATTTTTTTTTTTAATTTAGGTGGTCAATGATCATCATTTTAGAATTCACACTAATTTTGAAGAAGAAATGTATCTTTTAATAAAACGGTTACCTGCGGGGAAACCGTTACCTGCGGGAAAACCGTTACCCGCGGGTCAAAAATACCTGACGGGTAACGGGGAGTTTTCGGGGAAAACTATTATCAAATGGGGTGGGTACGGGTAATGGTATACCCGACCCCGAACCACCTCATTGCCATCTCTAAGAACAAGGACAGTCTTTTGTAATATAATACGTAGTAGTGAAGTGTATCAGTAATTCAGTATATTCGTTTTTTTCTTTACTTTTTCTTGTGGACTTCTTGAATAATTTGATCACTTTTTAATCTTTCACTACATATATTATTTACAAATTTTATTAATAATCGCATCCATTGTTATTAATTAATTACGGAGTATTTTCTAATTGGACTGCTAGAATTAGGGATGGAATGGTTCCGGTCGGCCAGGCCCGCCACTGTGCGGAACCCGGACCAGCTCGGTGAACCGGCTCGGGGTGTTAGAGCGGTGCGGTTCCAGGCCTACCCTTCCTTTGGAACCGGCCCGGCCCGGCCGGGCCCGGTTCGGGCCTATTTTTTTCAATTTTTTTCCCCGGGTAAGGCTATGTGTTTTGGGGGCGTTTGGGGGGTGGGGGTGAGGGGGGGGGTCGGGGGTTAATTAGAAAAGCAAAAAAAAAATGAACCAGCCTGAGACCGGCCCGTAGGCATGGATCCGGTCCGGTCGGCCCGGCCCGGGTGACCAGTACCGGTACCAAGCTTAGGCCCGACCCGAGGGAGTAACCGGGGCGGTTCCGGGACTGCTAAAACGCGAACCGGCCCAACCGGGCCCTAGCCGTTGGGAAATGTCCCAAACGGCTATATAGCCGTTGGGTGAGAGGAGGGGGGGGGGGGGTCCCGGGGGTTTAGGGTGGGGTTGGGGGTTGAAAACAATATTATAAATACTTCTATTTTCTATACATTTTTCTACACCTCTCCTCCAACTCTTCCTACTCTCTACTCTAATATTCTTAATCATCTCCATCTTCTCAAATTCTCTTGTTCTCTTATACATCTATTTTACTATTTATACAATTATTATATCTACTTATATATTAATTATATACTTATAAATACATATATTATATTACTTATATTTATTATCTACTTAATATATACTTATTATTTACTTAATATCTACATAGTAAATACATATTACATCTACTTAACATATACTTATATAGAGTACTCTTCCGGTCAGGTATACCTGACCGGAGCCCCGTCCGGCGTCCTCCATTTGGGGGCCTTCCCGGTGGTATTTTTTGCTCAACTTTTTTGTGTAGGTTCCTCATCAAGTCTAGTTCATCCATACCAAATTTCAGCCAAAAATTCAATCGGGAAGGTCGTCAAATGATTTTTCCAAGTTAACTGGTCCGGAATATGCACATATTCCGGACCAGTTAACTTGGAAAAATCATTTGACGACCTTCCTGATTGAATTTTTGGCTGAAATTTGGTATGGATGAACTAGACTTGATGCGGAACCTACACAAAAAATTTGAGCAAAAAATACAACCGGGAAGGCCCCCAAATGGAGGAGGCCGGACGGGGGGAGTGGTCCGGTCTGGCCGGACCTGAATACTGGGTGTACTTATATATATATATATATATATATATATATATATATATATATATATATATATATATATATATATATATATATATAGGAAATGAACTAATTTTAATTAATGGGAGTGTGGGTGTATAAGTAATAGGATGAATTTAACTAATATTGATTAAAATGTAACTAATATATAATATATTGTGTCTAGTATACAATATATAAGTAGTACACTTATATTTAATACTTTAATATAAATATATATACTCAATATATATTAATTAGATGTAATATAAGTAAATTTAACTAAATAACAAGTATATAATAAGTAGATATTATGTAGATATTAGGTATATAATATATGTATTTATAAGTAGATAATTCAAACTAGTATTACTAGATATAATAATTGTATAACTAATATATAATATATAAAGTATACTACTATAAGATTAATAATACACTTATATTTAATACTTTAATATATATATAAAGTATAATATATATATATATATATATATATATATATATATATATATATATACTCTTCCGGTAAGGTATACCTTACCGGAGCCACCGTGCGGTCTCCACGTTTTGAGGGCCTTCCCGGTGGAATTTTTCGATGAAATTTTTTGAGCATGTTCTTCATCAAGTCTAGTACATACATACCAAATTTCAGAAAAAAATTCAATCGGCAAGGCAGTCAAATGATTTTTGGAAGATAACTGCACCCTTTATATACATATAAAACACAGTTATCTTCCAAAAATCGTTTGACTGTCTTCCCGATTGAATTGTTTGCTGAAATTTGGTATGGATGTACTAGACTTGATGAATAACATGTTCAAAAAAATTCATCGAAAAATTCCACCGGGAAGACCCTCAAAACGTGGAGGCCGCACGGCGGCTCCGGTAAGGTATACCTTACCGGAAAGATTTCCTATATATATATATATATAGAGAGAGCTCTTCTCATCAGGCCGGCCTGACGGGCTGCCCCGTCCGGCCGAGCCCGTTTGGGCACCTTCCCGGTGGAATTTTTTGATGAAATTATTTGAGCATGTTCCTCATCAAGTCTAGTTTGTCCATACCAAATTTCAGCTCAAAATTCGATCGGGAAGGTCGTCAAATGATTTTTTCAAGTTAACTGGTCCGGAAAATACATATTCCGGACCAGTTAACTTGCAAAAATCATTTGACGACCTTCCCGATCGAATTTTGAGCTGAAATTTGGTATGGACAAACTAGACTTGATGAGGAACATGCTCAAAAAATTTCATCAAAAAATTCCACCTGGAAGGTGCCCAAACGGGCTCGGCCGGACGGGGCAGCCTGTCAGGCCGGCCTGATGAGAAGAGCTCTCTCTCTCTCTCTCTCTCTCTCTCTATATATATATATATATAGGAGCCGCCGTGCGGCCTCCACGTTTTGAGGATCTTCCCGGTGGAATTTTTCGATGAAATTTTTTGAACATGTTATTCATCAAGTCTAGTACATCCATACCAAATTTCAGCAAACAATTCAATCGGGAAGACAGTCAAACGATTTTTGGAAGATAACTGTGTTTTATATGTATATAAAGGGTGCAGTTATCTTCCAAAAATCATTTGACTGCCTTGCCGATTGAATTTTTTTCTGAAATTTGGTATGTATGTACTAGACTTGATGAAGA